ATTTATCATTGGCATGACTCATTTGCTTTAAAAGTAATATGTCCGCTTGTAAACTGGAAACGGTGTCTTTAAGCATCTGAATTTCAATATGACAAGGTGCAGTTCCAGTATTGAGTGTCGTTCCGGTTCCGGTTGTCCCTTTTCTCGTTGACCTTGGCGTTTGTTGTGTAGACGATTGTGAAGAGGCTCGAACCTTAGTTGCACTAATCATTTCTTTGATGACGGAATACACCTCTCCCTCCATTACTGACAACAACGTATATATGTCGTTTGCCAATTTAATAGATATTTGATCGCCTCTACCTCTAAACACACGCCTCTTTAGCTCGGAGTCTATTCCGTATGGAAAGTCCTCGTTAGATTTCAGAACCTCAAATAATTGCGATCTCACGTTATCTAAATCTGATTCGCTAGATGCGTAGTCTCTTATAAGGGTCGCAACAAAAGTTACAGAAGGCATACCACGAAAAAGGCTTCCGAGCCTATTATATTCGTAAAAAAAAGTTGTGTCACTATTGTCAATATGAGGTCCATGTCCGTCCTGTTGTTTGTTGATCAAAACAAGGAGAAATGCACGTATAATTGTCGTCTGTAGCGTTTAATATAGTGACGTCAGGTGTAGTAACTGGTATCTTTACTTCGGTATTTTCACCCGTGGCCACTTGTTCAAATTCAATGATAGGATTTATCTCCATCGTAAATAAGCTAATGAACACTGGTCAAATTTGCCGCTATGCCCTTAGGTAATATGAAAAATATCTCAGCATGACCCTTGTCGCTTGTAACGTCTTTGATAATCGGATTGAATTGAATTGAATTGACATAATAAGAAATAACAGTAGCATTACTGTCTCTTACGTACACTTACATTTCGTGTTCTTATACATTCTTAAATCCAAGATCGTTAATAGTTCATTAACACATATCTAGATCCATTCCACTGTTGGAATTGTCAAATAAAGCCAAAGAATTAAACAGAGTTAAAGGAGCCTCTCAAAACACGTCCGACCATGACCGGAAGCGGAAGTCCAGTTTATTTTTCATTAGGATATAATTCCATTTTTTAAACTGGGTATTTATTCTTAAGTCATTTTATGTCTGATACATTACTGTCATAAAGGGCGAAATATTCGTCAATTCAGTTTAATTTCAATTAAATTAGCATCCCCTTTACAGAAACTGTTTAATCGCTAGAATGAAATGTACTTACATGTAATTTGTTGTTACTAAAACCAAAAGTGTAAGAAGTCTCCATTTTTCAAAAAAAAAATAAACAGAGTGAATTTTAAGACAATTTCATAAGATTTTCATACTTGTATACACATCACAATTTCATCAAATCACTTACAGCCCATTAACTCTTAGCAGTCCAGAAGAGGCATAGACTGATCTTAAAGTTAGAGATATCATTTGGTGTTTTGGGGATATGAGATGTTGTAGATAATGTTAGGTGCTACTGAGTTTCCTTGAGAAGTTCCAAGGTGTCAAATTAAAGTCAGTTTGGCGGGAAATCTGTTCAAAATATTAACAAAAAAATCAAATTAATAGTCATTAATGCATCTGAACTTAACTCCTACATGACCTTGATCTTCAAAATCAAAATCTATAGAATTGTCAAAGCAAAACTCCGAGGCTATGTATTTTTGTAGTGATAGCACTTGTTGAAACAACGTGTAGTTTAATTTTTAAAACGAACAGGTAATGAAAGGTACAAATTTAAATCTTCGCCCCGCGCCCCCGCTTATTAGCATTTTTTGGGCTCTGTGCCCCCGCCATTTTAACATTGTTAATTCTCGACTTTTCGCTTGGTGGGATCGCGGGGCGAAAACACGCTAATAAGCGGGGGCGCGGGCGAAGTTTTATTCAGTAAACTCCCGACGTTTTATTTCTAAAATCGCGAAGTTTTATTGATTAAACTTAACCCTGAGCCACCGTCATTTTAACTTTAAAATGGCCTCTAGAGCTTGAAATAGAAAAATCTTGCCCGGCTTTCACAGGTCACCACCATATATAAATGTTTTAATTCAATTTAAAGATTCCAATTATTTTTTTAGGTATCAAAAAATGTAAATATTCCAATGGTCAAAACAATAACATACGGTAAGAATTATTTTAGGTTAAAAGGCGCCCAAATATGGAACAGTCTCCCTAATGACATCCGCCAGGTTGAAAACTACAAAGAGTTTGGGAGACTGGTCAAGGTCTGGAGTGGCCCAAGTTGAGTGTGCTATGTGTCTATAAATTTGCTACGTGTTGTTAACTGCTTAGTTTTAATTTATGTATAATGCTTAGACTGCATGTTTGTTTGTTTGCTTTGTTTGTTGTTTTTTTGTGCATCGCCTTTTAGTTTGCGTTGATGCTTTGATGAAATGCTGCATGTTATTTTTCCTTTAAACCCTGTATTTTTATGCTAGTTGTACCTTTGCTGTCTGGCTTGTATGCTTGTTCTAATTAAAACTCCCTATTTTCCTTTCCACGAGGCTGTGCATGCAACTTAATTTTAGTTAACTTTGTTTGTTACCCTGTATGTGCTTTATCTTTTTTTTATGCAGTTTTAGTTCTATCATAAATTTTTATGTATTTTTTTTAAGTAAGTCAATTTATTATATTTAATCCTTTTTAAGTAAATCTTTAATTATGTATAAACTCTAGATGTTAACTTTTACCATTTTAATTAATTTATATTTCTATTGTAATTGTTTTTATTTATTCCATAATGCTACATGTATCGTACTTAAATTGTCAGCTCATTCTATACTACAGTCGTTTATTACTTTTAAATTGTTAGTCCTTTAAGTACAGTATGTACTGTGCATGTCATTATACTTTGCTTTGCCATCTTATTGTATTGTTCTTCTTATCTTGCTTCTTTTCTTTGGTGCCTATAGTTGCTACTGGTTTTAAATGTCTTTACTTTCAGATCTGTATATGTTTTATGTCTTTGTTATTGTCGGTAAATAGCTTATTTGCTAATGTTAAAATAAAGTTTCTTGTATCTTGTCAAACTGCTGGTGGGATTTCAATGAAACGTCACAGGAGTGATCAGTACCATCCCGCCCACATGTTCCACTCCGCTGCATGAAATAGCCACCAGAGCTATAAATAGAAAAATTTTGTCCGGCTTTCATAGGTTGAACTGCATGTGGGATTTCAATGAAACTATGCAAGTGTGATCAGTACCATCCCTAGATGTGCATATTGCCGGCACGTTCTGCTTCTGTGCACAAAATGACCGCCAGAGCTATAAGAAGAAAACTCTTGCCTGGCTTTCACAGGTCAAACTGCTGGTCGGATTTCAATGGAACTTCACAGGAGTGATCAGTACCATCCCTAGTTGTGCATATGGCCAGCACGTTTATTTTTCAATGCACAAAAAGGCCACTAGAGCTAAATCCCCAGTTGTGCATATCGCCGGCATGTGTCGCGTTGGTGCACAAAATGGCAGCCAGAGCTATAGATAGAAATATCTTGTCCGGCTTTCAAAGGTCAAACTGCTGAGGGGGGATTCTGTTCATAATTCCCAGGAGTGATCAGTATAATACCTTGTTTTGGGAGACAAATGTTTTTGTGCCAAAAAAACCTTTTAGTTCTTAGTGGTGTAGCAAGAATCTTTGAGAAAGAGTGCTTTAAAATGATTCAAATGATATTAATATTGATATTGTGACGATGAAGAAAATATAAACGAAGCTAAGATCAATCCAAGTACAAGAGATATCTGATTACATTAGAACTTTTCAGACTGGCTCTATCACTTTTCGACCTACTTTAAAGTGTATAAAACTGAATATACCAGTGCCCCCAACTCCCTCCCCCTCTCCTGGCAGTTGTTTCGTCCCTTAATTGGTTCTATTTAACTTCACATAAAATGACAAGGAAGCCATGTAAGAAGTTGAACTTTGGGATTTAGTTAGTGATGTTTAGATGTAGCAAAACAAATTAAAAGGAACTCATAAAACGAAATTATTTGGGTGCTTTTCTGGATAAAAATCCAGTGTTTAAAAAACATATTAAAAGGAAAACTGAAACAGTTATAAATAATCATCTCAGAATAAGACATATTTGGAAATAACCTATAAATGAAGAATGCCCCACAAATATTCATGTTTCGTTTCTTGGCATTTTACACCTTAAAAAGTGCAATGCAATAATTTTTGTAGTTGATAGCAAAACCCAAAGAATTTTTTTAAAAAAAAAGAAATATACAGATTATGTTTGCTAAACCTGTACTAAGACTTAAGAAATGTGATAGTTTTAAACAGGCAATTTTTCAATTACATTAACTTCCTATAAAGTCAAGGATTTAACTCATAATGTATAGTTGCTTCAAAAAACAACGTGTCCCTTTATCTCAGTGAATTGTTCCAAAACGTAGCTTACGATTATTAGATGATTTCATTTGTGAGCTGGTTTCCACATTTGAAGAACAGTCTCAAAACATTTTTGCTCACATAATTCAATTATAAGTTCCTCAGTACACCGATGTAATAGCTGTTGAATACGATGCTCACAGGACATTCAATGCTCTGACAGGTTGACAAAAATGTTAATAAAAAAGTAGACGCAATCTTCATTGTTTCTTGTAATAATCTTTCCAGTAGAATTATGATTTTATGAAAATATGATACTTTATAAAGATATAATAAACTGTAAACTGCATTTTTATTGATGTTTGACTGTTACTGTCAATAAAAATAGCCTGGCATTCAAAACATTGTTTTTGACATTGTCTAAAGTAACTTTAAGCATGGGCTTTTAAGTGATTTGTTCAAAGCCATTGAAATAATTTGTATTGAATCAGGGTTTAATAACATTAATGAAGAAATTCAAATTTAAAGTTCTTAAAGAATAAATGCACATTAACATGTAACATTGAAATGTGACAGTAGAAACAACATTTAAATAACCTTTTAAATGCTCACTACATGAATTAAATAGGTTTTACAAGCAAATTGATTCAAAGATTGTTTACGTAAAAAATGACAAACTATTAAAATCAATTACAATATTTTATATTAAAGATATGATCGCTTGAAATTGGTGTCAAAAAAAACAATCATCCTTGTATAAAAATGATTTCCAATCGTGAGTTAAAAAAGTTTATGATACATCAATGACGATTACACAATGTTTTCATAGAAAACGATGAAATGTTTCTAATGAGATCAACAGGAAGTTTTTGCCATTTAACATTAGGTTGTGTCACTTTTTTTGCCAGTATGTGCAGATAGATATTCATCTCCAGCTTTACCTCATGTCTTCTGACAACTGTAAAATATAATACAACGATATTTATACAATCTATAAATTCTTTGTCACCCTATTGGAATTGTGTGATTAAGACAGGATTTCTATGTATTCGGATCCCGTTATTTTCAATATGCGATATTCCATATATGTACGACTTCATTGATTGTCCATCGCATGCGCGGGAAAAAACCGAGTATTCTTTTTATCGGAATCGGACAATCAGATGGCATTTCATCATAGATGTACACATTCATAAAAATCAGAATTATCTCGATTGTTCTTTAAAAAATGATACCGTGACAAAATGATTTATCTTTTCTTGAGATTTCAGATCTGACAGGTACATCTATATGCCAGTATGTATTTATTTGGAAGAAGAGAAGAACTATATTGGTTTCATCGGTTTAGTAAAAAAAAGCTGTATCACGTAAATGGTTGTGTAAGCCTCTAATTTCACATAAAGAAGTACTAACATATAGATCTGTCTGTAAGATCTGAAATCTCATGAAAAGAATTCATGCACATATTAAGTTTTCATTTAAATGAACTCTGATGTACTGCCATCCGATGGTCCTATTGCGATAAAAAAAAAAGAACGCTGCTAGGTCCGTTCGTTCTCGCGCATCCGATGGACGAACAACGCAGGCGTTGAAAATAACACTGAACATGTAATTTTACACTGCCCAGAATATAATGATATCAGAGAAGATTTGTTGGTGAAAATACGTCAAATTAATAATGTATTTGATACTCTGTCTGACATGGAAAAGTTATGTTATGTACTAAACAACTTTGAATTTGTTAGATATTCTGCCAAAGCCTGCTACCAAATACTGCAGCTAAGACGTTTAAGGATGTATAGGAGATAAATTGTTTTTTTACTTTAACTAATTTAGTCATAAGTTGAATTTTTACTTAATCTTATATGGTTTTTACATGGGTTTTTTTAACAATACAAACTGTCGTAAATACATGTATATAAGTACAACAAGTATGAGTAAGGTGCTTTTAAAGTTCTTTTATCAAGATATACATGTATTTATTAATAGGTTAAAATAGGAATATTGCTATTGATATAGAAAACAGGAATGAAATTATATGGATTTAATGCCTGTGTGGTATAATATTGATCTTGCTAATTTAAAAAGCAGCCTGGAATTTTCAGGTGTACAGACTCCTCCAATGTATTGTAATAAAGGAAATTTATTATCATGAATTTTATATTTAACTTTAAAGGGTATTAGCTAAACGATTTTATGAATTAAAAAGTATTAATACACAGGGTTAGCTCAAACAATTATTGTCATAGTACTATAATTAATAGACAGATAGGCACAAATTTGACCTCTTTGACCATATAATTCATGTTAGATTGTGTCTAAATATTGACGTTTTATTCTTAAAAAGTAGATATTTTAGATATTATTTTAATAGTTTTACAGTCTCTTATAACTCCTTATGTAGGAGTTTGTGTTGTGTAAAAATGTTGTGTTTTATTTCTAAAATATATGTAAAGATGCACATAGATGAGACTTTAATAAAATATTTGGGTTGAGTTGAGTTGAGTTGAGTTGTGTCCGATATTCTCGTTGAAGCAGTCGGATGACGTATACATGGAAACCTTGCCTAAAATGTCTTGATTTGAATTCAAATAGTCACTGGAAATACTTTTAAGGATTGTTTATATAAAATCTATAATAGAATCGCAACAACGTGATTAATGTCCATGATCATTTTAACAATAAAGGTTTCTTGATCAATTATCAAAAAAACAAAATCAAAACTTGAAACAAAACCGAGATCTTGTGAACACCTTATTTTATTTCCAAAGATGTCTTTTTAACTACAGGTTAAAGACTGCCAAGACACGAATCCTTCTGGAAAGCTTTGTGATCTAAGAATGAATTTTTCGTGTATTCAGTAAGTATGGATACCTAGCAAAAGGCTTTAACATGCCAAAATATGTACATAAACATACCTGCAACTTGAAACTCAACACCTTTAACTGAACATTGGCTGATTGTAAATCTACTGCAAGTTCCTTTCTGAAATTAATAAAATATAATATAATATACTACTAATATACAGATTCTGGTTGCTGTTTAAAGGCAAAGCATTTCAAAATAACTTTACTTAGTATTCTCAAAGGGGCATTTAACAGAGCAATGATGCATATCGATTAAGCATTTATCAGTGTAAAATGTGCATCTGTCATTAAATACGTTTATACCATACACTATAGATTGGAACCGAAACTGAATAGCATATGCAGTCTGACCAGGCTCTTTCCATTGTATTTTTGTTATTTTTGATACTAAACTTGGAATGGGCTGTTCAAAATTCAAAGCTGGGCAAATCTTTTAAAAAATTCCGGAAGTTAAGGGTTAAAATATACAAGTTATACTGTCGTTCATTACTGCTTCGTCACAAGAATGTTCATATTTTCAATTTTCTAGTAAGTATGCTCTTGTGACAAAGAAAATGTTATTTTTAACGCAGCATATAATAGAAGATCCTGGAAAACTTACATGCGCAAATTTCTTTCGGTAACTTCTCTCTTGGCAAATTTTACATTTTGTTTTTCATTCTCTAGTTCTGTTTGTATGTCTGTCACACTTCCACTGAAATCAAAATAAAAAGTAAAATTAACCTAATTACAACCCCTTATCTCTATATAATAATGAAAATGATTTTATTGCAATTTTTACTAAACGCCTCAAAAATGAATATTTTGCTCTGTAGAAAAACCAAATATGTGTGTTATGGGCTTTTGTCCGCCTTGTTAATTTCACCGGAGGGTTTTTGTCCGCCCTGTTTTTTACACAGAAGGGCGCGTGAAGAAACAAACGGTCGTGTAATGTTTGGTACTTTGTATGGACAATAATAGTGTAATAAGAAATATTTAGAACATGCGCATGAAGAAACAATCGGTCGGTCCTGTAATGTTTATAGTATTTTGTATGGACAATAGTCAATGTCATCTAAGTCATGATATAAACAACTTACACAATATAAGTTACTGAGAATCATGGGAAGTATAGACTTGATAAAGTGATGACATAATGAATTTTAAGTACATAATTCTAAAGGTTCGACGGACTAACTTCAAATTACGAAAGCCATTTTTATGATCATAATCGACTGGATTTTTAAATTGTAATTGTAACAGCTTATGACAATTTTTGTACCATAAGTATTATGTGTTGTTTTCTTTCTTGCTTCAAGGCGTTTAGAACCCTGAACTAAGAGGAGCACAGTATAGTTCTTTATCACAAGTTTTTGCACAGACAAAAAAAAATATTGTCATGGGTACAGTCAGAGACGAGAATATCAGAAACACACGCAATGTTTTAATTGTTAACAATGAATTTTAATACCAATACAGATTTTGTCCTCTGTTATTTAACTGTTTTTCATTGGCAATATATGTATGACTTTAATTCTATGACCTTTTCATAAATAATGCGCAAAAAATACAGAAACATTTGAAGCTTGTATGACAAAACTAATCGATATAATTGGACGATTTCCTAATTTAATGAATGGTTTACATTATGAATAATGCGTATTGTAAAACATTAGGTAAGCCAATACATGTACTAATGACATGCGTTTTTTTTTTATTACAGTGATTATGCTCATTTTTTTCATTCTCAAGTTGAGCTGAATTGACTATATATTTCATAAGATTGACTGTTATAATGGTGATTGACCAACAGTTGATACTGGAAATGTTTAGGATAAAATATAAATTTGCCTAAAATATAAAAAGACTGACCCACTCTTTTTGATAATTGAACGTTACAGGTAATTTTATAGATATTTTTAGAAATTTTCATGGGCCATATGGGTTATCAATAGTTTATGAAAAATTATAATATTGTCAGAAATTATGGCAAAATGTAAACTTATTTTGACTTTCATCCGTTTACTCGCTATATACCCTTAGATGAGGATAATGTCACTTTGCCGACACGGAATGCGCCGCTGTACGGAACACCATGTGTAATAAATACATGGGGGGTGTGACTTTGATATTTGTGAGGGTATATATTCGTTTAAATGATTTTTATCTGTGCAATGATATTCAGTCTGTAATAGTCTGTATTAGCTTTATCACAAAACAACAAAAAATGAACAAAAACTCCTAAATCCTTAAAGATATACTGTGCTCAAAATATTAGAAAATATTGATAATTGCTACACATATAAAAGAAAGGAACAACTTTTCTTGACCTGTAATAGGGAATGCAGCTTCCCATATATATAGTTTATCCATTCTTTTATTCAAATTAGACATATCCAGTTAGAATTTTATAGATTTCAATAAATTTCTGTGACTAAAATATTTAACTCAAGGATGAGCATAGTACATCTTTAAAATAAAAGATAAAATATCAGAATTAAAACTAAGGAAGTAATTTAAAGATTTAACATACCCTCTCTTGTATTTTGCTGCGGCGAATGATTTAACAGACTTATGGTTGGTAAACTTCTTGTGAAAGCCTAAACACTGTTCGCACAGAAAATGTCCCAAAAGTCCACAATCATTACAAAAATGAGTAGCTTTCTTTGAATAATTACGATTGGTGAAACAAATTGCACACGGGTCTTTAATATGTTCATCAGCGTCCCCTGCAAACGAGGCTTCCGCCAGAAATTCGCTGTCGTCTGCGTCTTCTATCTCACTTAGAAGATCTGACTCGTCGTCGGGAATAGGGTCTCGAACACTTAACATTGATACGGTGTAGGAGTCGCTTACTGAGGCATGCCGGGAGTTTGGAGAAACCAAAGTTTCCTTAATACGTTCCCTGGTTTGACTGTAAATATCCATTTTTAAACCCGTTTTAATAGCTCTATACTTTTTATCATTTCATATAGTAAGAAATGTCCTGTTATTTGAACGTTACGCAGTTTGGAATATCAAAACAAAACGAACTTCCCTATTAGTTTAAGGATAAACCTATCAAATTAAAGTTGTTCATTTAAATTATATAGGGTAGATTTCATTTTGTATGTAAAAATACAGTTTTGTTTTGGCAAGTATAATGATTTTAAAGTAGACTTGGTCTGTTTACATTGTGATAAGATATATTAGTCACCGACTAGATCAAATCCATTGATAATTATTTCACAATAGTTTTATATTTGTTACAACATATGCTTTTTGTGCCAGTTTTTTTTTCTTTTGAAGATGATCCTGTGATCTAGTCTCTATTGTTAGCTTGTACAGGTATTATTCTCCAATCACAAAGATCCTATCTCAATGTTGTGTCTAATTATACATTGCATGAAAAAGAAAAACATGCAATTTTAAGGGGATTTTATCTTAAAAGTTAAAATTTTGAAATAATACTGAATTTGAATAATTATTTCATTGAAAAGTCTCCCGTTACAAGTTCAAATTGCTATAATACTATAAAAACTGCTTCAACACTAATCAAACTTGGCACAAATGTTGACTGGACCATTGCCCTTGCAACAACATGCTCAGGCTTAAATTTTCTGTTACCATGGCAACGAGGGGACATCTCAAAATTGCCAAAAATCACTATTTTGCGTTGATTTTTTCCATCATAATTGATTTCAAAGTGCTGCAACTTCTCAATGGATTGAGATAGAGTCAAATGCTTTTCCAGCGTTGGTTACACGTTACCTTATGATCAATCTGGGGTCATTTATAGCCTCTCACAAGTCCAAAAATTTCTTGGCGATGAGGGGGACTCCGCCCCCCTTCAAACCCCCCAAACACAAGGGGGCACATCCCCCTTCTGGCGACCCCCTGATGTATCTTTTGGTTGGGGCCGCGCCGTTCAAAGTGGTCACTATTTTAAACAACATTTCTCAAACAAAATCAAGTGTTGGGGCCTAAATAAGGCATTTTTTCACCATTTGAGACAACAAAAAGGGGGGTTAAAACGGCGTTAAAAGGCGTGTATATCGCGTAAGAGGTTAACATAAAATGATGAAAATACCTGAAATTACCCAAAATCACGTTTTCCGTGTTTAAACATGGCCTTACATATACATTTGAAGAAAAATTGTTGTTTTGTAGATTTTTTTATTTTTTTCATTAACCCATTACTTCATGAGCATTTTGTGAAAAATGGCTGTTTTCATTGAAAAGTCTCCCGTTACAAGTTCAAATTGCTATAATACTATAAAAACTGCTTCAACACTAATCAAACTTGGCACAAATGTTAACTGGACCATTGCCCTTGCAACAACATGCTCAGGCTTAAATTTTCTGTTACCATGGCAACGAAGGGACATCTCAAAATTGCCAAAAATCACTTTTTTGCATTGTTTTTTTCCCTCATAATTGATTTCAAAGTGCTGCAACTTCTCAATGGATTGAGATAGAGTCAAATGTTTTTCAGCGTTGGTTACACGTTACCTTATAATCAATCTGGGGTCATTTATAGCCTCTCACAAGTCCAAAATTTTCTTGGCGATGAGGGGGACTCCGCCCCCCTTCAAACCCCCCAAACACAAGGGGGCACATCCCCCTTCTGGCAACCCCCTGATGTATCTTTTGGTTGGGGGGCCGCGCCGAAAAAGTGGTCACTTTTTTTAACAACATTTCTCAAACAAAAACAAGTGTTGGGGCCTAAATAAGGCATTTTTTCACCATTTGAGACAACAAAAAGGGGGGGGGGTGAAAAAGGCGTTAAAAGGCGTGTATATGACGTAATGGGTTAACTGCGAAGACCAATATAAGTACAATGTACATGTATTCCAAAGTTAGAGCCTGGTTGTAAATAAGCTATTTTTAAAGATGCATCGACCGACATTACTTTAAGTACACCATAACCTTTATTTACGTTTTGTTTTTTCGTAAGCTAAAATTTATCGTCTGCTTTTACATTATGGAACACTTTAATACCAACAATGCAAGATGGTTTTGTTCTGGATATTATTAACAGTGCTATATCAACATGGCTTATTTTATAATTATTTGCTCACAACCAAAAATATTCCCTAAATGCAATCCTCAATTACATAAACGCTGCCTTTAAGGTACGATCGCCATTTTTCAATCAGGTATCAAAATGTTCAGACATTCATCTTCTTATTTACGAATATCCTATTAATATTTTTACGGTATATACATGGAAAACACTTAACTGTAGATTTTTATTTTCCTGTGCGGCGTTTGAATCTTATGAAGAAAGTCTACGTATTTTCCGAACATCTCTCCTATTTTGTCATTATTTCTCATTGATCTAGTAATATTTTGAGGCAAAAAATAACAATATATAATATACGTATACAATAGTTTATTTCTTTCTTTTTATTAAAAATGCAACTTTGTTACTTAAAGTTCATTCACAATTTGCTGTAAAAAATCATTTTAATCACTTACATCATCATGTCTATTGAACAGTTACACACCTTTTTAATTTAAATCTGGTTTCAATAAACAAAATATACATAAAGTTTCATATGAAGTCCAATTTTTTCTTCCCTTGTGGTCAGATAGTCAAGGGAGGTAATTATAAACGATTTAAACTTACCTCCCCTCATCCTGGAGGTTAGCAGATGTTTGTCTTCTTTTTTGATTAAAGATAGTTTTCAGTGTTTGGGTTTAACACCATATTTAGTAAGAGTTCAGCCCTCAATGTTATAAAATATTTTTGTGAGTTCTGTTTCAAATCTCATGGATTTTATTGGTCGGACAGTTTTTGACAAATTTTAAATATCTGAGATTTGAGTTTGAGATTAAAAAAATTCTTAATAATCTCAGACCCTGATCTAACATGTATTCACAGAATATATATACCTGCATGTATTTAAGTTTTAATAACTGGTTCCCTGAAAGATACTGTCAACATCTCCACTTGATAACTTGAGTTAAGAAAAAATAGTATACCTACATGGTACATGTATCCCTTTCAATCAAAACAAAGGCCTTAAATTTAATTATGTACAGACAATAAACCTAAAACTGTGCTAACAGAACTAACCTACAAGGTTTTCTTGCCAAAAATATATGAAAAGGCACTTTAAACAAATACAACTTTATAAAGCAACCCGACAGTGTCCCAATTATTCTTTATAATTCTTATAAATGACTATAAAAATGTATCAATTTAATGTTGAATGATAATCAAATACATGTACTTCTGCAAAGGCACTTTGTGCGATATTAATTTGAAATGTTCAACAATTACCATATTAAGTTTTTTTATATATAATGACTTCAAAAATAACTACATAAATACACTTTTATGATAATTATTTCAATATTACTTTTTTTAAGTTAATCAAATGAACACATGGACAGCATGCAATAAACAAGCTTATAGCTTTCAACACAATCAAACTAAAATAAATTCAAATGCGTATAATCTAAAACTTGTATCTTAAATCAAGTACAACAGGTACAGTATGTGTGACAATATAAACAACAACATCTGTTACTCATAACAAAACCAAACATATGTCCTTGAATTATATGTTTTAAATACACGTATACACAGGGATCTATGCACATAAAGTTATTAATGCAAATGCACCTTACAAAAATGATATAATTATTTATCAATAATAACACAGAGTTATGTTTTTGCACCAATATAGCATGGATATTTCCATTTAACAGTGCAGGGACATTTACAGGGATTTTACAGCCAGACTGTTACAGCAGGACAGGTTCTTACCAGGGGATAACTATTGACTTCTGTATAATTGTAAACAAATTAAGAATTATTTAAGTAAGAACAGAAGTTAGTCTTACGATAAAACCATAAATACAAATTTACTTTCCTCAGACACCTGATTCTTATAATTATAGTATATGTGTTGAAATAAGGTGGTATTTTCAATGCCATTAATTTAATATAGTCTATACAAATGTATATTATCTAAGTCAAAACTGGCTATTTACTAGCACATGACCTCTGTGTAATAAAGCATTTAAGAAAGACTCTCATTTATGTGGGTATTTGTGAAATGCCTGTGCAAACATTGCTGATGATTGAATAGTATGATAACTGGTAATTAATTAATACATGTGAACTTTCCTACTTTTAGCTGGAGACTCCCACTTTCTGCAGCTATATTTTCAAAGATTTTTCTTAAAATAAGGGATATTTTCACAAATTAAAGAAATCTCCCTCAGAACTTTCTCCTTTATTTATTGCAAATTCTAAAATCTCCCTCTTTATGAAGAAAAATCTCCAACTTGATCATCAAAAAGGTTCACATGTAGGTATCATGAATCTTTGACACTTGTCCCTACCCACACACTAAAACACCCAGAGTTTAAAAATGTACCATAGACATTTGCCCTCTCACTCTGTCCCTCCCCCACCTCCCAAGTTAAAATGTAACGGTGAGTATTTGCCCATTAGCAGTAGCTATCATTCTGGGTTGGGCTTCAGAGGGTCTTAAGTGTATCCCAAGTCCTAGGACATAAAACCAACTTAAGGACTAACTTAAGACTGTTCAATAAATTATTTTACCTTCAGTCAAAGACTGTAGACTATAATTTAATTGATTTTCATGGGAAAAAGTTAAGAAATACAATGACATACCCCTTTTTTGTCATCTGTATTGCTATTCAGAAATTAAGTCATGAAAAAGGAGTCATAAGTTAGGACTTTCCTTTGAAACACAAAGTTGTCTCAGTTTTGGTCTTTAGACTGATTTCAGGCTTAGGACTTTCTTTGAAACACAGCGCTGTATGATAAATACATGTAAAGAATTAAGCTTATGTTTCTTGAATGTTTAACAGAATGTTTTACATGTAACATCTTACACTTTTATATGTGACACTGACACTGGTGTGGGTGCCGGCAGGACAAATGACAAGTGATACATTTTTATTTCATTTTAATTACCTAATTACTTTTCTTGGGAATGTACTAGGTTAAATGTCCGAAACATTGAATTCTATGCAAAAAGTGCCAAGATATTCAGCTATAACACCCATACATGTACTTCTAAAATAATTATATTTACTCCAAAGAGTTTCTTTGTTTTTGTTTTTATTTTCTATAAACAACTTGTTTTATGTACAAAGTATATCACCAAAAACTTCCCCATTTTTGCATACATTTAAAATCTTATATAAAAAGTTTTTATTACAAAATACAAAACAAGAGCACTGCATGCGGTGTTAATGCTCGTCTGTTACAGGCAATGACTGTCAATAACGAATCTGACAAGTTAAAAAGAGGCATAACTCCAAAATATGAATTTTTCTAAATTATGTCCCTCCCTTGCCTAACAACTGCACCTTGTCATGATAAACAAGTATTCCAAGTTTTATGCATGATATTAACTTTTAAAATGTATGAATAATGGACCGCATTTGAATTTTTGCACGACTCAGTGATGATAATAGCTTGACTTTGATGTTGTTTAAACAGACAAGCTTACAACAGGAAGCAACACAATTATTTTACATATAAACCCTCAATAAATAACATATAAACCCTTTTATACAATAAAATTACAACAGAATCAACCCTACTAATAATACATCATAGAAATAATAAACTAAGTAAGTGCCATTTAACCCATTACTTCATATACACGCCTTTTAACGCCTTTTTCACCCCCCCCCCTTTTTGTTGTCTCAAATGATGAAAAAATGCCTTATTTAGGCCCCAAACACTTGTTTTTGTTTGAGAAATGTTGTTAAAAAAAGTGATCTCTTTTTCGGCGCGGCCCCCCCAACCAAAAGATACATCAGGGGGTTGCCAGAAGGGGGATGTGCCCCCTTCTGTTTGGGGGGTTTGAAGGGGGGCGGAGTCCCCCTCATCGCCAAGAAAATTTTGGACTTGTGAGAGGCTGTAAATGACCCCAGATTGATCATAAGGTAACGTGTAACCAACGCTGAAAAGCATTTGACTCTATCTCAATCCATTGAGAAGTTGCAGCACTTTGAAATCAATTTTGATGGAAAAAATCAACGCAAAATAGTGATTTTTGGCAATTTTGAGATGTCCCCTCGTTGCCATGGTAACAGAAAATTTAAGCCTGAGCATGTTGTTGCAAGGGCAATGGTCCAGTCAACATGTGTGCCAAGTTTGATTAGTGTTGAAGCAGTTTTTATAGTATTATAGCAATTTGAACTTGTAACGGGAGACTTTTCAATGAAAACAGCCATTTTTCACAAAATGCTCATGAAGTAATGGGTTAATGAAAAAAATAAAAAAATCTACAAAACAACAATTTTTCATCAAATTTATATGACAGGCCATGTTTAAACAGGAAAAAACGCGATTTAGGGTAATTTCAAGTATTTTCATCATTTTCTGTTAACCCATTACTTCATATACACGCCTTTTAACGCCTTTTTCACCCCCCCCCTTTTTGGTGTCTCAAATGATGAAAAAATGCCTTATTTAGGCCCCAAACACTTGTTTTTGTTTGAGAAATGTTGTTAAAGAAAGTGACCTCTTTTTCGGCGCGGCCCCCCAACCAAAAGATACATCAGGGGGTTGCCAGAAGGGGGATGTGCCCCCTTCTGTTTGGGGGGTTTGAAGGGGGGCGGAGTCCCCCTCATCGCCAAGAAAATTTTGGACTTGTGAGAGGCTGTAAATGACCCCAGATTGATCATAAGGTAACGTGTAACCAACGCTGAAAAGCATTTGACTCTATCTCAATCCATTGAGAAGTTGCAGCACTTTGAAATCAATTTTGATGGAAAAAATCAACGCAAAATAGTGATTTTTGGCAATTTTGAGATGTCCCCTCGTTGCCATGGTAACAGAAAATTTAAGCCTGAGCATGTTGTTGCAAGGGCAATGGTCCAGTCAACATGTGTGCCAAGTTTGATTAGTGTTGAAGCAGTTTTTATAGTATTATAGCAATTTGAACTTGTAACGGGAGACTTTTCAATGAAAACAGCCATTTTTCACAAAATGCTCATGAAGCAATGGGTTAAGAACCCAATTTCTACAATTTAGATAAACTTGCAAAAAAAACCCAAGCAAAAATAGAATAATCACACCCAAAAGCCTGATATAACATGTATTATAACATATTATGTTAAATCATAACAATACAGCAGAATGATTGGTTGATTTCTTCACACTGAACTAACAATTATTGGCTATCTTATAGAATGATGTGAGTTTTATAGCCTAACTCGTACAACATCAACAAAACAACAGTTTAATATTTACAATAAAAATTCAAGAACTCTCATTATAGAACTGGTTAGAAGATCTAGCAACTCTATTTTTCTTTTTCCCTTCAAAATAAAAACTATATAATAAAATTAAATCAATTTTGGAAAATGATTTGATAGAAAACAAAGTAATGACAAGAGCTGCCAATAGGACAGTATGCTCAACTATTCTCAGTGCCTGATAGTAAAACAAGAGCCTGGATAATGTAGAATTTTGTAAGTTCAAAAGGATCATAACTTTGTAAAAGTCCTTGTTAAAGTTTTGGCCCTTGGACAGTGACCTATTATGTTCTCAAAAAAAATGTGTGAAGATCCAGCCCATTCCCTTCAGTAGTTTTTAAGTTATGAACTTGCACATAAAAACTTCACCGAAGTGTGATGCCCATGCCAAGGTGAGTTTAAAAACTCTTCCTATTCTTTGAATAGTTGAGAGCTGAAAATAACTGAATTAACAAAGAAATGAGCCGCGTCAAGACAAAACCAACATAGTGCGTTTGCGACCAGCATGGATCCAGACCAGCCTGCGCATCCGCGCAGTCTGATCAGGATCCATGCTATTCGCTTACAAACCCTATTACAAGTAGAGAAAATGATAAGGAAAGGGCATTGGTTCCTGATCAGACTGCGCAGATGCGCAGTCTGGTCTGGATCCATGCTGGTTGCAAACCCATTATGTTGGTATTGTCGTGACGCGGCTCAAATAACACACAATCCTCACAATATATCAAGATGAACACTTTTTGGTTGTTAATAAATCGTAAGAATGACACAGTACATACACACAGTACATGTATGTAATAAAAGAAAATTGACTTCTTTAACCAAGAAATTAAAGACACTTTTCAAAACTAATGTTGCCTAATGAAAACAACCCTGTATTTAAAAATTAAATATTTTATGAAAAACTAGAAAAGGGGAGATCATTTTATCGAGTTTGTTCATGAAATAAAATAAATAAGTGCAAAATTTCTCATGCCCCTAGTCAGCAGTATAAAGCATATGTACATTTATATTCTTGTTGAAAAAAACTTCATTTACTTATTATCTCCCTTTATATCTACAAACATGTAGAAAAATTCAACTACCAATTACCAAATGATCGCGCTTTAAATTGTATACTCATTTATGTACATCAGGTCATTTATTTAAGTTATAAACTTGTAAAAATCAAACATTTATACATTGAATCGCATCTCTTCTAAAAGTTAAAAACTTGTAAAAAATTCTTCTTTTGCACACATCTTTTAACAACTTTATAAATTTGCAGTAAAATAATAAATAACAAATGTATCACATAAACAGTTTTGATGGTGTTAATTCAGTTCCTAGAGTTACAATTCAGTCACTATATTCCCAGGACTAACATGACAGCATTAGATTAAATCATGTATCAACTCTGTTTTTACTGACACATCCATAAAAATTAAAACAAGAACTGTCACAGTGACTTATGCCCCACCCCCTCCCCACAGATATATAGCTTAACAGAAAATGATGAAAATACTTGAAATTACCCTAAATCGCGTTTTTTCATGTTTAAACATGGCCTGACATATAAATTTGAAGAAAAATTGTTGTTTTGTAGATTTTTTTAATTTTTTTCATTAACCCATTACTTCATGAGCATTTTGTGAAAAATGGCTGTTTTCATTGAAAAGTCTCCCGTTACAAGTTCAAATTGCTATAATACTATAAAAACTGCTTCAACACTAATCAAACTTGGCACAAATGTTGACTGGACCATTGCCCTTGCAACAACATGATCAGGCTTAAATTTTCTGTTACCATGGCAACGAGGGGACATCTCAAAATTGCCAAAAATCACTATTTTGCGTTGATTTTTTCCATCAAAATTGATTTCAAAGTGCTGCAACTTCTCAATGGATTGAGATAGAGTCAAATGCTTTTCAACGTTGGTTACATGTTACCTTATGATCAATCTGGGGTCATTTACAGCCTCTCACAAGTCCAAAATTTTCTTGGCGATGAGGGGGACTCCGCCCCCCTTCAAACCCCCCCAAACAGAAGGGGGCACATCCCCCTTCTGGCAACCCCCTGATGTATCTTTTGGTTGCGGGGCCGCGCCGAAAAAGAGGTCACTTTTTTTAACAACATTTCTCAAACAAAAACAAGTGTTTGGGGCCTGAATAAGGCATTTTTCATCATTTGAGACAACAAAAAGGGGGGGGGGTGAAAAAGGCGTTAAAAGGCGTGTATATGAAGTAATGGGTTAATATAACTGAATATGCATTGGCAAAGGGCAATAAGTAAATTGAGCAAGACTAGAGTTGAAGGTAAAACCATCAGGTTATGATTACCCCCCTTGAAGTTTATTCATATATGAAGGTTGAAGACGATACTGAGAAATAGTCCTGATTAAATTACTGGTTTCCTAGCAGTTTCAGTCCCCTAGCAGTTTACAGGCCGTTTATCGTTTTCGTCCAGTACAGTCTATTTTTTACCAGTTAGACATCCATATTACTTCATCAATCAGAGAGACATTTGTTTTCTATGCTTAACAGCATTTAAAATAGTACGAGACATTTGTTTTCTATGCTAAACAGCATTTAAAATAGTATGATTTATATGTTTTGAAGTTTTGCCTGTTATTTAAAGTTACATTAGAGAACTTGTGACTTTCAAAAATAAGCAACACCTGGGGAATTCTAGTTTGAATATCCATGCGCAATAACTAAGACCCCATTTTAGGTAAATCAATGCTTCGGAAAATATTTTTGGAGACGACACGGAAAAGGTTGGGAAGTTCTGTTCGTCTGATAAAACCATCTTATTATATTGAATTATATTCAAAATAAAAAAAAGGTTCGGAAAACTGCTATGAATTTTTTAATAAAAGTGAAAAATGGTGTTACATTTCAGGCCTATATTCAAATTAAAAAGTAAAATGAAAGTGCAACATCAAACATATGGCAATGCTGGACAGGTACCTAACTTTGTCCTGTCTCAGTTTTGCACCCCTCCGTAGACTGATTTTGATTTTATTTGTTAAAAAGTGCGATTTTTGGCCGGAAACTGCTAGGAAACCAGTACAGCAGAAGAATAATTATACAGGCATGCTGTTAAACTAATATTGACACCTGGTCTTGGTAGAGAAGTCTTCTATGAAGTTTCAATAAATCCCATAGTGATCAGAAATTGTCTGGTCCAAAAAAAAAATTGATGGCTGTAGAGAGTGGCCACTTTATATGATATAAAAACAGTCTTTTCTTGTCTGTTTTACATGAGAATAGCTAATGTTGTATATGACAGTACCATGTGTACTGATAAGCACTAAAAAGAACGTTTAATTAACAAATACGTGTTTAATACTTATAAGCTTTATACACTCCATATCCTGGAATCCTATACAATCCAGACTTTTAACCAAGTTCTAAAGGGGTCCACATAAGAGAGTTTCAGAAAAAAAATGTATGTTTGCAAAAAATTATCATATCTTGTGGCTTTCTTTGACTTAAAGGGGTCAAACAAGTTTCTATGCCTTTAAGGAATCAAATAGGGGCAAATATATAATCAAAAAGTCAAAGTTTTTCAAATAAATATCATAATTATATGGCAACTGTAAAATTAATCTGGCTCTGTAACAGTTAATAATCAATGGGATATCTTGTACATAAATTAGCCTGTTTTAAATTGATTTACTTTAAAGTTTCTATCACAATTCTGTATGGTGTCCACCACTCAATTTCGGACCTTTTCTTTTCGGTTTTGAATTCTGTGTTTTCTTCTTCTTGGATTTGTCTGATTTCTCTTTATTCTGTTTTTCTTCTAATTCTTTCTCTGCTTCCTCCATCTCCTGTTCATGAATATAATTGAGCCGTGCCATGACAAACCAACATAATGGGTTTGCGACCAGCATAGATCGAGACCAGTCTGCGCATCCGTGCAGTCTGATCAAGATCCATGCTGTTCGCTATCAGTTTCTCTACTTTTAATAGAGTTGGTTAGCCAACAGCATGGATCCTGATCAGACTGCGCTAATGCGCAGGCTGGTCTGGATCCATGCTGGTCGCAAACGCACTATGTTGGTTTTGTCGTGATGCGGCTAAAATATACATTGTATATTGTATTATTAAAATAATATGTAAACTTCAGTCCTTGAAAAAGTTGGTTATATTTCAAGCAGGTTATGTTAGATGTTTGGTATAATTTAGATGCAATGGTGCAGTCTAGATGGAACACTGTTATAGATCAATCAATAATGATCAATATTATAAATTATTTATAAGCAAGCTTCAACAGCTATACTCAAGATCATTATATCTACAGTACAAACTAGAAGGAATTTTTTTGTCAAAAAAACATAAGTCTCCCAAACTAGGTATGGTATTGATCAATCCTGTGAAGTCTTGTTGAAATCCCGCCAAATGTTTGGTCTGTGAAAGTCTGACAAGATTTCTATATTTAAAGCTCTGGAAGCCATTTGCCAGCGATATGCACAACAAGTTATGGTACTGATCACACCTGTGAAGTTTCATTGTAATCAAGCCAGCAGTTTGACCTGTGAAAGCTGGACAAGATTTTACTATTTATAGCTCTGGCAGCCATTTTGTGCAGCAAAGTGGAATGTGCTGGCGATATGCACAATTAGGTATGATAACTGATCACTCCTGTGAAGTTTCATTGAAATCCTGCCAGCAGTTTGACCTGAGAAGCCAAAACATTTTGGAGATATAATAAGAAAAAGATATAATACCTACCTTAAGAATTTCCATCTCCTGGTATGGATTTACAAATGATTCATCTTTTGGAATTAGTCCTAGTTCCATTGACATCTGAAACAGTACAGTCATGCATTCATACAGATGGGTACAAACAACATAATATGTAGATATATTATCAATAACTCCAAAATAATAGTCATTTTAATGCATAATAAAGATTTAGTTAACCATATTCTTTAAGTGTCCAAGCAAGGTGATTAATGGATTAACAAAGCTTCAGAATGATAGACCAGAATTTTTCCATTATCTGATTAACTTTAAACAATTGAAATGTATAATGTCTGAAAATATACAAAACAAAAACCAGCTCCACAGGTTGGAGCATTTAATACTTGAAGTTCGTGTTTGCACAGAAGATGCACAATGTTAAAATGGGAGAGGACTCAACCGAAAAAATAAAAGCGAAAAACTTTTTTTTATAGAACAAAATTTGGTTTGTCACCTTGACCTTTGTCCTACTGACCTCAAAAAGTAATAAAGGTTATCAATTGTCATGGGCAATGTCAATATCAAGTTTCAGAAACATAAGCTTATTCCTTTGAAAGTTATTGATTATAGGAAGACTAGACTGTCACTGTTACCTTAACCTTTTTTAAAGTGGCATGACCTGATGTCAATGATTTGTTTTTAATGTCAATCTAAAGGTTTATATAAGCACTATAGACATCTCATTTGTATTCCAATTTTCTATATTTTTGTGAAGAATGATCTTAGCTGTTCCTCTTTCCATAATTTCAGGCACAAACTGGTATGGGAGTAAAACAGTAAACTACACACTATCTGCAATCTTACTAAAATGGCTTCCTCAAATAAAAGAATGCAATATTGCTTACAGTCACCAAACTGATGAAGGGTAACTCATTTGATATCAACAAACATTTACACCCAGTTTTGAAGCTCACTGACAAAATACAGCACTCTCCAATAAAAATGAACTTACTAGAGACAACAGCTGTTCATGAGGTCCTTGAAAAACTCCAGATTCCATAGAGAACCATACTGCCCATCCTATCAGGAATTCCCAGTGTTTATTTTTATCATATATGTCATGTGTAATATCGGGTAGCCGTAGTATTAAATCACCAAACATCGCTGTATTCTCAAACACATTTGACATTGCTGAAAAAACAAATCAAGGCTCTTAGAAATAATATGTCAGCACAGGGTGCTATGGAAAATCAATGGTTGCTATCAAAATTACTGGTTGCTAAGGGAAGTCACTGATTGCTATGAAAGTCAAAGGTTGATGAGGAAAACCCATAGTTGTTATAGAAGTCACAGTAGCTATGTAAAGTCAAAAATTGCTATGGTAGTCACTGATTAATATGGAAAGTCAATGATTGCTATGGAGGTCACTGGTTGCTAAGTAAAGCCAATTGTTGTTATGGAAGTAACTGGTCACTAAGGGAAGTTATTGGTTGCTATAACAGTCACTGATTGCTAAGGAAATAAATTTTTGGCAGCATTATAGCAAAAAGATATTTTTCCAGTACTGAGTAGATATATATTTTTCACTGTTTCTTTCTTTCTTTCTTTTCTTTTATATTGGATCAAACATAGCACCAGTACAGTATAGGTCATATGGCAACTTCTGCTCAAACCTAGAGGTGAGTGGCAAGTGGTTTTAAATCAACAACCTTAACTACTCACTCACAGACGTCCCTTCATTAAGTTTCAATAAATACATGTATATATAAGTCAAAAATTTTACAAGTTTGGTCCATTCTGGGACACCCTGGTTCCTAATGCATCCCCAAAATTGAAAATTCTGTCATGATGACTTATATTTTAAGGCATTAATTATTAATTTTTAATGGTACTGGTTATAGACCATACAAGATAAATATGGAAAATTTAAAGAATCCCTATCAGTATTGTGGCAGCCATCATTTTAAAAATCAATTTTATTACAATATAAAAGCTTTTCCCTGGAATATCAAATGGCATGTTTTACTGAACTGAGAATGAGCTGTTAACAGTTTGCACAATTTTCTATAAATATACATGTATATAATTATATATATACAAGCCTTATGAATATTTAAAAATGTTATTTTAATCTTTTCCTGCTCATATTTTATGCAAGAATGGAGAATGTATGATTCTATACATTTACATCTTCAACCATGCTTGAAATGTTGAAAGACTTAACTTGCACCAGGGAATACTTTGATATCTGTATATGCAGCAATTCATAATAATTCAATATCACCTAGGGTTCAAGGTCATATCTCAATACAACAATAAACCTTTATAAGAACCTCTCCCATTTTGAATATCATTGTACTTTTAGTATCTGTTTAAAGATGTTTTCGTGAGTTTTCATATCGACATATAGGCAAAATTAACACTGTTCAACGGAATTTCTTTAGTTTTAATTATGCCTTTATGTCTTTGATATTATGAAAACTCCCGAAAAAAGTCCTGAAAGATATTCGTCATGAAAATGTGAAAAAATGAAAATATTACTGACAAACCATTGAATATTCTGGCAATAAAATTGTTCTTTTTTTCATGTAATTGTTATAAACCATATCTGCTTATGCCACTTACACTTGAAAGCTGTCCGGTTAGCTCAATAGTTAGAGCGTTGGACTGAGAATCCAGCGACACTGGTTCGATTCCCTGACCGTGCAGGTCACTTTCCTTGTGATTGATCATGAATTCCTTTCAACAGTCATTTGCACTGTACCTCTGTTCTTGCATGTACAGAAGTAATCAGTTCCTTGTGAAAGTTATGGCAGCTAGTACTGCTAAATTGCTTAACAGCCTGTCCAGGAACGATGCGGTGGCTGAACTGTGCTCTGGTAAATTCAATGAGGCTTACTGCCAAGATCTTGAGTGAAAACTACCAACATAACGCCACCACTAACATTTGATTAGTCAGCAAATGAACTCTAAAAAATCCTAGTTGACATGGTCAACAAATCAGTTATATTAAAATAATTCGATTATTTTTTAAATATCAACCAACTTACCGTCTCTGACAGTTTCGTTCTCGGGAAATGGATCACCTGGTACGAAACCAAATTCTGTTAGATTGTTCTTCGACTCTTCTAAAACCTGACGAATACAATTCAAAACTGATTGAAAACTGTGAACGAAGTTCCAGGAATAGCGTTATGTAAATGCATTTTACTGTTACTTTATCAGCATAAAGCCACTTGAAACAGAAACAAAATGAAACACAGTCTCAGATAAGTTAAGAACTTGCAAAACTAATGAGTGTACATCAATACAGTGTACATGAACTGTTACTGACTTTGGCATTTCCACTGATAAGACTTCATTAAATATGTTTTATTTCACTACATTTTCCCTTTGTTTGCTCTCTGGCATAATGATAATTATTGTTACATGTTACAAGGGTGACTTTGTTCACAAAAGTTATGGTAGGAAACAATTTTTTAACGATATCTTACAAATAAAGAATTTTACAGAATTTTTATAACAGAGCCTTATGTTAACACCATAAACAGTTCTCAAGCCAGATATTCAGGTCTGCAGTCGGTGTAAATCCTTATAGTCTTACCCTACCTATAGCTTTGGTTGAAAATATTTGGTTGAAAATATCTTTGTCTTACAATTAATACAGCTTTTTATTTAATTATACCCATGAAATATGGTGCTATATCAGTCAAATATATGTCATATTTGTAAAAAATAAATATGAAATATAAATATGAAAGTGTGCGGAATCAAAACTCATATTTATTACCATTTTGATTAAAAAATCTGATAAATAAAAACATTTTTTGTTGAATTTTGTTTTAAAAGTATCTAGAATGATAGAAAATGGTCTAACTAAGAAAATAAATCCGAACACCAATATCTTTAATGCAGTTAGTAACGCTGTACAGACGTTTAAAGAGTTGTTTACGTGACGTCACAATGTAGCGCGAACAGCGCATGCAAATACAGTCAAAACAAGACGCATCAATATATAACTGTACAATTGCATTTGCATAGCAAGCAAGGGATTCGTAACCATTTTTCTTTGTTAATGAAATTAAATAAAAAGGTTATTTTTTCATTTTTCAGGAAATATGGTCAATATTATCACTCAACATGATAAAATGCCACACATTTTCACTCAGCGTCCCGGCTCATGAAAATATGTGGCATTTTATCATGTTTTGTGAAAATATATTCTATATTTCACATAAAAACGAGAAAATATCCTCTTAGTCTTACCCTGAATATATCTTTTACCATCGTCTCTGTAAGTTTATATTTATGATCATATTTCATATTGGACTTTTGTAATGATTTAATCGCATCTAACTGAATAGCTCTTTGATGTTCAAATAGTTTCACATCTGAAAATATAAATTGTTTTATATATGCATAATATTGTGACCATTAAATATACAATGATCAGATTTGTTACACAACTAAAGTCATCTCTTAGCTTTATTTATTATTAAGAGTTAAGAGTGTAATTGTTTTAAAGATTGCTATGTTCATGCTCATTACACCTTCAAACATATTCTTCTATCACCTGACTGTGAAAATATGTATAGTTGAGGTCATTATTTATACATGGGAAAAAGTGTATAGCCCTGTTCTACTGAGTAAGCCATAACATAAAATATCTTTTTCAGGAATGTCAGTATTTCTTTTTGTAAAATGAAACCTCATGAATTTTTTAATGTTCAAACATGCTGTTTCACTTTGCGAAAAATATATAGAGTTTTTCTGCAGAAAAAAAATCCATTACTGTGTAATCATGCAGTAGAAATATGGTTATATACCGTATATCAGGTTATTTTCGCATATGGCAGATTTCACGATTTTGGCGGCAACATAATTTTAGCGAATGTAATTTTAGCGATTTTGTTGATAGTTGCACTTGTTTTTTTATTTCACGTTTCTATGCTAGCACAGTGATACTACTCTATTAGTCCCAGATTAATTGTTTTTTATAAGTGAAACTTTTTTTTAATTTTCCTACTGAGGTAAGTCACTTATTGTCTCGTCTTAGCTTATTGTTAACATGTTAAGCTGCTTATGTTTGTGTACCTATATGCAAGGTGTAAATTATTTTATCTTATTGGACAATCAGTTCAACAAAAAAATATACATGTTTGCTTAATGTGTTGCTAAAGATTTTTTATATATTTTTAAATACACTTTATGCTAAATAATCTCGAACCATGAATATTAATTTTAATTATTAATTTTGAATTATAAATTTTGTATTTGATACAATGATTTAAATATTATAGGTATCACAATGTATAATATATAGGACTTAACTTGGTAGCTTAAAATAGAAAGTCATTGAGTTACAGAAACAAAAGAATTCCCAGTATCAAATTGAAGTAAAGTTTAGCAAATCTATTTTTCGAAATATTCATTGCATGCGAATATAGCGAAAAATTAGATACTCTTAACAAGAAATGTCGGAGGACAGTAACGCTCGACTATTTGAAAAGTTGTCACAAGGTTGTTTCATTGACTTTAATAATGCTTACCTGCATGAAAACATAAAATTGTCCGAAAATGTACAAAGGCTTGTTATTAAGATGCTTTATCGAGTAAATCACTGCTTTATTATTATGAATGCATAAAATTGTCCCCAAAAAAGGCACAAACCCTTCAGTAGTTATGGAGATACCAGCTTACAAGCAAAAACTTAAGCAATAATTTCTAAGTCGAAAAAGGGGCATAATTATGCAAAAAGCAAATCAGAGTTATGGGACTTGTGCCAATCATGTAAGATAATCACAGAGAACAAGTGTGTGAAGTTTCAATCCATTCCCTTCAGTAGTTATGGAGATACTTGCTTACACGCAAAAACTTAACCAAGGATTTCTAAGTCGAAAAAGGGGCATAATTATGGAAAAAAAAACAAATCAGAGTTATGGTACTTGTGCCAATCATGTTAGATAATCACAGAGAACAAGTGTGTGAAGTTTCAATCCATTCCCTTCAGTAGTTATGGAGATACCAGCTTACACGCAAAAACTTAACAGGGACGCAGACGCCAACAAATGGGTGACTGCATTAGCTTAATTACTCCTCTCAATGTCAGTGAGCTAAAAACCTCATATTCGATATAATTTAAAATAAGTCATTAACTGCACGTAACATGTAAACTAATACTTGAATCTTTTTACTCTTCTTAGAATCATAATATATTTTTCTCAAATTCAATTTTTTAAAAATATTTTGGCTCATCTGGTCAAACATGCAACTTTAAAGCACAAAAAGCTTATCATATTTAAAAAGTTTTTTGTGTGACCTGGTACAGTTTCCAAAATGTTACTCACTGGCCATATAGCCAACACAAACATTTTACCACTTTGTTTAGATCACGCTACCTGCCACCTTTATTACAAATTATTTCCAAATTCAGCATTATTTCCCACCTGAAGATAAACATCTTTCATGTTCTTAATCCATTATAACTGCATAAGAAAACACATATTTACTGAAGAAAAAAAAAATTCTAAGACTTAATGTGCCTTTAAGATCATGTGGTATTATACTAAATAAAGGGTTTTTGCCCACCACTGGAACACCACTTTTAACCCTTAACATTTTGAATTTGTGTAATGTGTAATGAATCTGCCCTAGTTTGAATTTACAAATTCAAAGTTTAAGTACGGTAGTTCTCTGGGCAGCAAAATTAATTGTCCATATTGCCCATGTTGTCTCACAGCCTAAAGGATCAAGTGGAACTTTTCAAGAATATACTGTATAAATATCATTGGGCTCTATACTTGTGGCAAAGGCTTATCACACTTCGTCACCTTAGTGCAGTAACAGGTTAAGTTTTTCTAGTCTTAACCCATTACTTCATATACACGCCTTTTAACGCCTTTTTCACCCCCCCCCCCTTTTTGTTGTCTCAAATGATGAAAAAATGCCTTATTTAGGCCCCAAACACTTTGTTTTTGTTTGAGAAATGTTGTTAAAAAAAGTGACCTCTTTTTCGACGCGGCCCCCAACCAAAAGATACATCAGGGGGTTGCCAGAAGGGGGATGTGCCCCCTTCTGTTTGGGGGGTTTAAAGGGGGGCGGAGTCCCCCTCATCGCCAAGAAAATTTTGGACTTGTGAGAGGCTGTAAATGACCCCAGATTGATCATAAGGTAACGTGTAACCAACGCTGAAAAGCATTTGACTCTATCTCAATCCATTGAGAAGTTGCAGCACTTTGAAATCAATTTTGATGGAAACAATCAACACAAAATAGTGATTTTTGGCAATTTTGAGATGTCCCCTCGTTGCCATGGTAACAGAAAATTTAAGCCTGAGCATGTTGTTGCAAGGGCAATGGTCCAGTCAACATTTGTGCCAAGTTTGATTAGTGTTGAAGCAGTTTTTATAGTATTATAGCAATTTGAACTTGTAACGGGAGACTTTTCAATGAAAACAGCCATTTTTCACAAAATGCTCATGAAGTAATGGGTTAATAGGAGTTAACCAGTTATTGCACTAATGTGATGATTTGATTCTAGCAGGATGAGGGTTAACAATAGTGGCAGATATATACATGTACTACCTGATTACTTGCTCATATGTGCAGTTTGACTAGGTTCAGTATACCATTGGCTCCTTAGTTTTATCAAATGCTCATAATAATACTGCTAATACTACTTAATATGGACAGTTTTATATAAAATAATGTAAAGCAAGTCGATTGCAAAATTTTAACAACTTTACTTTAAAAAATTAAACAAAATATTTGAATAATAAAATTAAAACATAAATAATAAACAATAATTTACCATCCATTAACCATTTTACTGCTGCAATAAAAGACACAACTGCTGTGTAAATCAAGAAACGTGTTAGAAATCCTGACGTTGGGACGTCCTCTACCATCGGAACTACAACTTTTTTCATCATTTTAAATCGGAATCCCAATCCTTTTTTCAACAGAAATGTTAGAAAAAATGTTTTATCTGAACATTTGATTTGTTATAAATCTAAATTTTGTCGAAGTTCCTCTCAATGTCAGTGATTATAAAATTTTATATTTCTTTTAAATCTAATTTTGTTTAACACTTATTATCCTTTCGTTGCTACGTTTCATAAAATTCGTAGAAAAAATAAAAGTCCTATCAATGATAACTTCCAATTGATGAAAAACTTAAAACATAATATTCAAATGTTTAATTTTAAGTGTCAATCTAATATACTAGAAAATTCTGTAGGTATATTAAACGCAATATCGCGTTGGCACTCATGTATAAAATTAACACGTGTGTAAAAGTCAAGTCAATTCATCCGGTCTACAGATGTCATTTAGTCGATCAAATTGAGTACACGTAAACAAAAATCTATATCTGTTATACGCATTGTAATTTTCCTTTGTTAGCAAAGAAAACTCCCTTCGTAACAGCATTGCAACATGTTGCTTCAACTTTACCCATCAATATAAATCTGAATACATGAATTAAATTGGGTTTATTTACCATAAAATTGAATAAGAATACAAGATATGACTGTAAAAATATTTGTTAATCAGGTGTATATATTGATACTATTTTGTAAAAAAAACAAAATGATTTCATTATACAAAGTTTTAATGTTAAAATATTTGTATATAAACAATATTTTGTTAAAATTTGGGGTATACTAGTATATATATTACAATATTTTGCAAAAAAATTGGCATATAATATACACATTGTACAATATTTTGGTTAAAACTTTATCATGTTTAATGTAAAATGTATATAAGCTTCAAAAATTATGAAGCATTCATGCATTCCGAGAGCAATACAAAAAACCCTTAATTGTAAACGCCTCGATGACTTTATTGCTAATTTTCGTACTACATGTATATAAACACATCTAAAATAACTTCAGCATACCTGTGACAAATTAAAATAGCTGCAGAAAAAAAGCATGGTTTCCCATCATGCCTTGTAAATGATTATAAAGTTTACCCATGCTTAAATCTTGAGGGCCATGGCATACATTGCGCTTTAAAGTGTACCTAACAATCTCAATCAAATCAGTATGTTTTTTTTCATCAATTATTTAATTTGAGGTCACTGCTCTTAAAAATTTTTCTTTCTTCAGGATTTTTTTTCTTAGAAATACCACAGCATATTAAATTTCACTTTAACAAATCAATAACAGGTAGTCCAATGCTAGTATAGACAAATTTATAAATTATTGATGATTTACAAATTGTTGAAGAGGTTTTTACCTTTACATGCTATATATTTCTATTCTAGTTTAAACAATATCGTATTTTTAATCTTTTCATTCATATACTGATTATAATAAATTAAATATAAATTAGTTTTACCAGTAGTTGATTTTTAAAAAAAAAACAAAAAAACTTTCTACATAATCAGTACATGTATTTCATAAATTATCAGTATTTATAATACTGCACATAACATATTTTATGTTACGTCACTTTTCATTGGATAATCGTAACGTTTATAGATTTTTACACACAGCTGGGGCTGCTGTCAATTTATGAATAAATCTCACTTTTTTCTAAAAAATTGAAAGTTTGCTGTATTATAAATTTGTTATAAATATTCCTGACAGGTCATTTGACTGTTTATAAATGGTTATTTGCAATATAACCCTTACCTAAGTGGCTTGGGTTATATTTCCCAACAACCGTTTATATAGGGCCATATAACCTGTCAAAAATCTTTGTAACTAATAAAATAAATGGTAACAAAAATATGCATTATATAAACTAAAGTGTTCTATCTTGTGCTTCCTTTCCTAACTGTAGCCAATAATTTTTATATTAAATATCAATAATTATATTTCATTCTGGAACAGTCCATTATCAATTTTCGGGACACCAATATGAAATACTGGTTGAAAATGCATTTTTGTTTAAATACATGGACTAGTAAACTTTTAAACCTAATGAAGCTATATGAAAAGATAAATGGCCATCAATATTCTTACATTTTAAAAAACAGACTAATTCATTGAAATACTATAAAGTAAATAATAATAAGTAAAGACTGGACTATATATAACTAAGTATTTCAGTTTAAATGATGCTATTCATTCCAGAAATTGTTGACTTCAAGTGGATAATTGTTGACATAAAGTGGATAGCTGTAACTTGTATTTCATCCACTAAGCTATTCATTAGCATTTTGAGCTCATACTAAGAAATTAATGTCAGTACTGTAAAACATTATTAGTGCTGTATTTACATGGAACTGCAGGTATGTTAGATATAAACTGACAGTACTGTTTCGAAAGAAAGAAAAACTGCCAGTACCATAAAGAAATGACAGTTCTGTAAAGAAATGACAGTTCTGTAAAGAAATGTCAGTACTGTAAAGAAATGTCTGTCAGTACTGTAAAGAACTGTCAGTACTGTAAAGAACTGTCAGTACTGAAAAGAACTGACAGTACAGTAAAGAACTGACAGATTCATAAAGAACTGACAGTAATGCAAAGAAATGCCAGTACTGTAAAGAAGTGACAGCACTGTAAAGAAGTGATAGTATTGTAAAACAATGAGTACTGTAAAGAAATGTCAGAACTGTAAAGAACTGACAGCACTGTAAAGAAATGACAGAATCAGAAAGAACTGGCAGTACTGTAAATAAGTGACAGCACTGTAAAGAATTGACAGTACTGTCGACTATCGACAAATTACTGTTTAACTGTTTATAATGTAAAGAACTGTCAGAACGTAAACAATTTAAAATATCAAAATGTATTTAACCTTTTACCCCATGAGCATATTGCGAAAAATGGCCGTTTTCAGTGAAAAGCCTCCTGTAACAAGTTCAAACTGCTATGAAACTATGAAAAATGCTTCAATACTAATGAAACTTGGCACAAATGTTGACTACACCATAGCCTCTGTAACAGCATGCTCAATAGTAAATTTCCTGTTACCATGGCAAGGGAGGGACTTCTCAAAATTGCCAAAAATCACTATTTTGCATTGTTTTTTTCCATCAAAACTGATTTCAAAGTGCTGCAACTTCTCAATGAATTGACATAGAGTAAAAGCCTTTTCAGCGTAGGTTACTTGTTACCCTAAGATCAAGCAGAGGCCATTTTTAGCCTGTCACATGTCCAAAATTTTCTTGGCAATGAGGGGGACTCCGCCCCCCTTCAAACCCCCCAAACAGAAGGGGACACATCCCCCTTCTGGCAATCCCCTGATGTAATATTTGAATGGGGGACGGCACCGAAAAAGTGGTCACTTTTTTTAACAACATTTCTCAAACGAAAAACAGTGTTTGGGGCCTAAATAGGGCATTTTTTCACTGTTTGAGGCCTCAAAAAGGGGGGGGGGGGGCAAAAAGCCGTCGAAACACGCTTATATAAGAGAAAAGGTTAAAAAAGAAACTTACATCTGTCATACTTGGAGGCTTTAGACTGCACTTTCCCCTCAATCCTCTCACTGTCTTCTGGAGGGGGTATATCAACTTCCTCACTTACTATTAACATATACGGTCCAAATATAGTATTAATAATCCACACATAAACAAAAAAGGTCCAGTAAAGATTTCTTGACCACATCTTAACTCAAGGGGAACCTGTTCAAAATAAAGTAAAAGACTGTTTAAAATGCTTAAATTATTTGAAGACATGCAATTCCAATGTGTACATGTACCATAGTAAATAGTAATCCCAAAAGATATCTATACAAAAGATTTCTACTTGTATTTTGTATGCAATGATAGAGTTGCTTTCACTCTGGATCATAAATAATTCAATTTACTCCTTACCATGCTAATTGAATAACATACACTGGTGAATATCTAAATCTGATCTAAATTTCCTAAACAAAATTGCATTTTGAGAGACTGAATTGCAGATCTGCCAACCTGACTCCTATTTGACACTTCAGCACAACTTCTTCAAAGATGGCTCCAGCTACATATGTACCATCCCCTAAGAGTTCTAAATTGGAACTTTCTGCGGTACATTATATATGTACTAGTATGTCATTAACATATTGCACCAAGCCCTTGGACAAATTCTGGGAGAAACAGATGAGTAAGCATGCAGGAACAAATATTTGTAGAATTTTGCAGACTCTACATACATTTAAATCATTGCATATTTAAAACATCGTTTTTTTTTTCATTGGACAATTGTGATGTTTATATAATCTATATATAGTTATATAATCTGCAGTGGATTTATGAATTAATTTCTTTTTTTTCTCTAATTAATTTCTTTTTTTTCTCTAATAAAGAAAGTTTGCAATATTATAAACTCATTACTAAGATTGTTGACAAGTTATATGGCAATATATAAACGGTTATTTGCAATATAATATATTCAAACCATTAGATAGGGCCATATAACCTGTCAAAAATCTATATAATTAATAATATACATGGCAGAATAACGCTGGAGGATCTCTGGGGAAGAGGTTTGCTAGGCCGGTCACTGAAATATGGTTGGTCAATATTTGTAAATCAAATAGGGTGTGGTTTGGAAGATATATGTTTGATCAGGAACGGTCCCAAATAAAAAAAATTCAATATCTTAAATTATTGTCGTAGAACTTATGAAACTTGTTCTTCAACGATATCAATAACTTTGTTAGGGGAGCGGTGGCCTAGTGGTTAAGGTGTCTGCCTCTCAACCCAGAGATCATGGGTGCGAGGATTACTCGGGTCTTGACCATGTTTCTTCACATGACACCAGTACTGGTTGGTTCCAGGAAGCGGACTGAAAGTGATTAATATAAGTTGCAAGAACTTGTTTTTTTTTGCAAACGAGCTAAAATAAATATGTTTAAACCAATAACTTGTAACCTTCTAAACTCTGACACTGACATCATCATCAAATGATTTGTCCCAGTGGATCTATCTTAGAATGTCATGTTTAAAGTGTTGTAAATATATTCTACTTATCTCTAATGAAACAGTAGACATGACTATTGACTAGTCACTTCAGAGACAGCTATGAGATACAAGGGAATCCGGGAACAAGTCCCCAGCTCTTATTGAATAGACCCCTTGGTTCCTTTACATGCCCAGTGTATAGCACTGACACATGCGAGGATTATCTGGATTTCTTACCAGTACACCTCAACTAAGATTATTTGATTGATTTTAACCAGTTCAATATATTGTTTTGCAATACTAAGATTTTTATCATTTATATTATTATAATAAATTGATGAATCCCTTGATGGAAAGTATTAGACTTTCTATGGTCTAACTGCGATGAAGAGAACGCGGGAAACTCTGTTCCCTTTTTTACACATCTGATTAAAAAACAATGCAATGTTATGAATAGAATACTTCACATTAAAAATAAGTGGATCCTAGTCAAAATATATTGATGTGCCAAAGCTTGATTCTGAGATATTTTCGTTCTGGGGCAGAATCTCGCTATTGTCCAGACATGAAAATAGCACAATATCTCATCGCTCAGTACAATTAGTCGGACTAAAGCGGATCCCAAGAACACTTGAACAGACAACACAGTTGGATGCTCTACATGAAAATCCAGCCTTAGTCTGCAGACTGGTGAGATTCATTTAGACTGATGGGGGATGCATTGATTGATTGAATGGCACACTTCATCAAACCACATTTGAGCGAATACTGATAAAATACTGATAAGAACATCAAGTCAACTAGCGCGAGTAAAAAGCGGTTTGATCAGAGACTTCTTATACAGATTTAAACCTAGCTTTGTGACTGTGTTTGGAATAAAAAAAAAATATAAAGAAGTAGGACTATCAAATTTCCAGTCCACACCTTTACTCTAAGCTTATTAACATTATGCATCCATTGATTGAATCAATGTTCATTTACATTTGTACATTGATAAAATGTCCAATGTAAAACATAATAAAAATTTCACCTTGTCTCTTGTTAATCTCAAATACACGTGTTGTTTGTAAACACGGGAAAACCCACTTTGGATCTTAGGAACGCTTGTGCACCAATGCTTATTCTTATGAGCTTTTACATGACATTGAAGAATTATCATCATGGCTGACGTGGACTTTCACGAACAAGAAGTTTGTTATTTTTCTTCTTTTTTCTCTATATGCCATGTCATTTCGCCATTATATTGTGATTTTACTGTAAATCATTGTTCATTTAAAGTAATGGTGTAATTTTAAAGAGATATTTTATGGTATGGCAATGAAATGAACGATAAATGTTTAGGATGAAAGTGTAGTAGAAATCGGATAGAATATAAACATAAATCAATAACCTGGTTACCAGTAAAATTAACAGTATATTTTAATTTAAATTTAATGATGTGATGGAATTTTTGTTGACATCATTTAAGCAGCAGAATTTTTATTGGACTTAACACTTTCTGCTATATTAAATTCTACATGAAAAAGTGGTATTGAGTGATTGACTTCAAAAAGGGTCAGTCAAACCAAGCCTGCAACTTTTTCAATTTTGTCCTTTTTCTACGTCTTGAGTTTGCTTTAGGAATTCTATTTCTCTCTATTTTGTAGCCACATCATTTCTATTTGGCTTTGGTTGCAAGTACTTATTTAAAGTCTTTCCAGTACCATCCAAGAACAGGCTAACTTGAACCAAGCATGCAATATTTTCAACTTTGAGGTTTTTGGATTCTATTTCTCTCTATTTTGACCGTGCTGTCTTGATGCTGTGCACTGCTTCACCCCTAGTCCCTGGCACCACTCTTCCTCGGGTTAAGTTCCAATACACAACTGGGAGCTGGGAATATAACTAACTGGCGAATTATATCATGTCAATTATTTAAGCAGCTGCATTTTATATAATGTCACTCACAATGTAAATGAATGTTGGATCCACTGCACTAGTATGTCCCCTGCTATTTTCATTCGCTGTTCAAAGTGTCTGTGATGACAAAGGTGAAAGTGCACAAATCGCTAGAGCTGTGTTGTAGATTCTTCTACTATCTTAACAAGTGACCTGGTGCCACCCAAAACCAATAAACCCCTTTAGATTTAAATGATGCAGTCATTAGTATGTTTCAAAACATTTACATTTCATTCAATGTATTTGAATCCTATGGATGCATTTGAGTGAGGCTTTATACAAACTTCATTGGTGTAATTATAAGTTTACACCATATGTCCCTTATATTGACAAAATTGTGTCCACTTTTAAGTAAGAAAATATAGCAGATAGTTTATTTTCTTGAATGTTTTTCTTTCAATTACATTGAACTTATACAGAACCTACATATCATTAGTCATGTCACAACAATATACAATTAGAAGTCTACTCTTTTTGATAAATATATTAGCATAACATTTGAATATTTTATTTATAACATGTGATTGTTTGAGGGGTGCCTGTAACCAAGTGGTTAAGGTTGTTGACTTTAAACCATACGCCTTCACCACTGTAGGTTCAAATCTCTCCAGGGATTTTTGATTCTTTCATGTAAAGAAGCTATCTAGCTATTTTACGGAACAACATTGTTTTTATTCCCATGCCAACTCATGCTAGAAATAATGCATAGAGGGGCATTTGAGGTCTTCCTTCAGTAAAGCTGGAAAGTGGCCATAAGACCTATACTGTGTTAGTATGATGTAAAACACTGGTTACTTAAAAAAATTTATATACATGTATATATAGTAGATGTTTTATTTAGGATATGTCTTTCTATTAAATGTACATCGTAAAACAGCTCTAGCTACCATAATTAAAATGTCTTATCTTTTTAAGGATCTGAATGATGTTTCATTGGAAGGGGACATTACTGCTCCTGGGCTGAAAACTGATGATGATGAGTTCTCTACCTTGGATGAACCTGTCAAGGATACTGTGGTATTGAATGTGTTTCTTTCTTTGTAGTTAGAAATCAATGCTTTATTATTAACCCTTAACCTGCTGAATTTCTAAAATGAACTTTTCCAGCTTCTTTTATGGGAACTGTCCATAATCAGTTTTAGGGAATTTCAAGATGTTACAGATAATAGTATAGATCCCTGGTCAGACTACATGTACAGATGTGTAGGCTGGCCTGGCTCTATACAGAGGGCAAAGGTTAAACATTTTTGGTTCCAGCTGAGTAAGGGTTGATATTAAAGCAGCCTTTTGTCTTTCTAAATGTGAAGAAGTTATTTTTAGATAAAAAGTTTCAAATAATTTTCAAATGAAAAGAATTAAGGTGGCAAATAAAATTTGAGTTAAAATGAGTTAAATGCATAAACAAGAAGGAAATCCCTCAATATCTCTAATCTACAGGTCTGCTCTCTATATTTGAATTTGTAAAGTGGACGAAACCAACGTCAATGACGCATTATGAAACACTCTCAGGATACTGTTTTGACGAATGTTTACAGAGATTATGATGCACTTTTCCGAAATTATATTACTGAAATACAGAATTGTTTTTCCAACGGAAAATAAAAGCTGAAGGCCACTTTTAAAAGGACTAAAGACAAACATTGTTAATTGAGATTACAAAAACAAGAATTATCAGCTTTCATTTAACTAGATACAGTTAAGAAATAAACTTCATTTGTATTTTGAATTTTCTGTAACTAACTTTTAGATTATCAACAATTAAGTGTTTCCCTTAATCCTGTTCTGGCTGTGTAAATCACTTGATGGTTAGTAAAAGTAAAGAGAATGTGTAAATGGATTAAATGCACAAGTGAAATCTTGCTGGGTCAAAGTTCAAATTCTGTATTAAATGTATATTTATTCTCAAAAACAAAATGATATTTTTTACATTTTAGATGAGAGATCTGCGAGCTGTAGGTAAAAAGTTCTGGCATGTTCTGTATCCAAAAACTAGCACAGCTTTGCTAAGAGAATGTAAGCATTAGTTTGATTTATATTTTGAAATAAGACATACATGTTTATACAAGGTATTTATTCTTTTGAAAACTTGGTTCCAAATAATATTGTTATCTGTATCAGTGAGAGCTAGATTTCAAACAATAGAAAAAAGTCATTTATCATTTGTTTTATAGATTTATAAAGTAATTAATTTTGTTTTTCTTTTTATAAGGCATTAAAACTGATTCTTTTTTTACAGGGGATCTTTGGGGACCATTGATACTATGTGTGTTCATGGCAATGTAAGTAGTATATGTAGTTTCTATGAAATATTGTTGTGATTGTTCTCAAAAACTTACTTTTTATGATTTTAATATTTTAGAGTAACACAACTAATTATCTATCAGACAGGACAATGTGATTGCTTTAACCTTTACTCTTCTAATTTTCATTTGAATTTAAAGTTAAAACTTTATTGACATTTAGATAAAAATCCTAATAATATCAAACAGATTAGAGTCTGTACTGTACTAGCTTAGGCAACTCTATTAAGCTTTTATAAGTCTTTATTGGGCTAAGGTAAGTCTTTATTGCTCTAAGACAAGTCTTTATTTGGCTAAGGTTAGTCTTTATTGCACTAAGACAAGTCTTTATTGGGCAAGTCTTTATTGGGCTAAGGTCAGTCTTTATTGCACTAAGGTTAGTCTTTATTGGGCTAAGATAAGTATTTTTTTGGCAAGTCTTCATTGGGTTTTGGCTTCGGCAAGCCTTTATTGGGCTATGATATGACTTTAGCAAGTCTTCATTTGGCTTTGATAAGTCTTTATTGGGCTATGATAATTCTTTATTGCACTTAGGCAAGTCTTACTAGGGCTCAGGAAAATCATTATAGGGTTTGAAGGCATGTTTTTATTACCAATTACTGTAAGTATTGAGAGAGATAATGGTTATATTGGTTTATATTTTAGGATGTTACAGGGATCATCAGATGATCTAGACAAGATGAGTGATGGTGGTCCACAGTTTGCTGAAGTGTTTGTTATATACTGGGTTGGTGCAGTAGTAGTTACACTCAACACAAAACTACTCGGAGGAAACATGTAAGATTCACTTGTAGATATTTTTAGTTGAAGGTTTTGAAAATTATAAAACAAATTTTCACCATTGTTATTTTCATTTGCATTTATGGACTAATTATTTTCATTTGCATTTATGGACAAACATAAAACAAGTAATCTAACTAATGATAACCCATCGTTTGACAGACCTTATAATTCTGGCTTACTTTTTTGCGTACTTATATCTATTTATTAAATGGTTAAAATTTTAGTTCAGCTGTTGAATAATGGGGTTATCTTACATGCGCATTCATCTGAGTAACACTTTGGTTAAAAATTTGCTTTCAACTTCATATCCTGTTAACTTCACCAAAAACTAAAGACATTTGTAAGAATCTTCAAACATGTCATCAGCATACATGTAATAGTTTGAGATTAAGATCAAAATTCATGCATGTATTTTATTGAATAATGTCTTGACAACCAGACATTTCAGTCACTACTCACAAATTTTTTACAACATTTTCTTTAGGTATTTTATTTGTATTCACATTATATAAGAATTCAATTTTACTTAGCTCTCTCATGTTATATTTAGTATCAAACTATATTCCATTGTTCCTGTGCCTAAAGCTGCATGTCTCCAGATAAGTCAATAATTTCAAGAAAATCAAACTTGAGAAAAATGTGCTAAGATTTTTAGAAAGGTAAAGAGATTCAGGGAATAGTTTACATGTTATATGCGATGAATGACTGATTTTGCAGTATTTATCTCTTGACTAACACAATAAGAACATATTTTGCATATTTTGACCTTTTTGGTGATTTGCCTGGGGTGCGTTTCATAAAGAATCTTAGGACTGATTTTAGTCCTAAGTGCAAAACTGGAATAAAAATGCGTTTCAAGAAAAGTCCTAAGTACAATTTTAAGACTAAACTTAGGACTATTCCTATGGGAGCCTCAGGGCACTCCTAACTTTTTTCTTAAGTCATAAATACAAAAACAAGTGATTAAAAAACATTGCAGCTCTTGTTTTAATGTCTGATCTAGATATATATACGTAAAAATGGAAGGCATACATGAAGGAAAAGTTATTAATACCTGTAATATTAAATGAATTTTGATGTTATTATTACACTGATTTTATATGAATTATGATAAGTTTTGGTTATATGTATATGACTTAATTAAATTCTTTTAAAAATAAAACTTTTGTTCAAATAAACATTTCATTTTTGCTAACCAGAGTAATGATAGGTTTAATAGTGAAGAAAATCCGTGATTGATACGGCTTTTCCGGACTTAGTTTGGCGTGTTTTATTTTCAAGATTCATTTTTTTTTATTTTCATAAAATTCAAACACGCTCGCACATTATTCCCTATAAACAGATAAGGCAGTCAAGTACATTATTAGATCTACACGATATAATGCATGGCATAAAAAAAGGAAGGAAAACACAACATGTGAAGTCAGATATGACGTCAATAAACCAAATGACGTCATAAAAATAACTTCTACTTATAATAGAATTAATATGTTTTTATTGATTATTTTGATGGAAATAGATATTACTTTCCTATGTAACAGTAAAATAGCGCATGGTTAATCATTCAAATGTTTTGTAATAAATTACTTATGGCCTACCAACCTTAGTTATTACATTCCTGCACATTTTAATTCAGAAGGGGAATTATCCTTCAACAATTTACTTAAAATTTAGATTTATCTTCTAAATATTAAGAAGTTGTTTTTTTCGTTTGAGTAAATATGAAACATATTTTCAAGAATATGTCTGTCATAATGCACTTTAAGGATAATTTTAAAAGACACTCAAACATTTATCAGTCCCCTTAGATCTACATTATAACATTAATGATATGAAGTCGGATAATAGATAAGAAATATTAATGCATAAATGTCAATTATACACCATTAATATATTTTACCAGTGTCTGCTTAATTATCTGTCATTCTACACTATAACTTATTCCAGGATAAGACACAAGTGATTATTTTTATCTCCATTGTGAAGATCATGAAGATCAAATTGGTCTTAAGAGTAAAGTTAGGACTATTCCTAAGTACAAAATCAAATTGGTCTTAAGAGTAAAGTTAGGACTATTCCTAAGTACAAAAGTTAGGATAGTTTCTTGAAACGCTCCTAAGTGCAATCTTATTCCAGTCCTAACTTTAGTCTTATGTTTTAGACTTACGATTCTTTATGAAACGCACCCCAGGATTGTATGTGCCGCCTGGATTGTATGTGCCATTTGCATTATGTATATTACTTTCTTTGTTGGCTTGACAATACTTTACAATTAAATACATTTTAATTTTTTTTCTTAAAAATAAGCATGAAGCTGGAGGCATGCTGCTTTAAAACTTTGAGAAAACATTTTTGTTAAATCCATTGGCATTTGAACACTAAACCATGATATATGTCTAATGATAAATAAACAGCCATGAAAAGTTCTACTCTGAATCTTCCTTAATATTATTGATGACGATTTTGTTAATGGGTTTATTAGAAATATGTATTATGTTTTGTTTTCAGCTCATTTTTTCAGAGTGTATGTGTGTTAGGTTACTGTGTGTGTCCATTGGCTATTGCCCTGATTATATGTCGCTGTATACTGATCGCTGATGAACAGACCACCATGTTGTTTATTATCAGATTTACTGCAGTAGTTGTTGGCTTTGGTTGGTCTACATTTGGTTAGTATGTTATGTTATTTTGTAATATATACTGTAAATCTTTTCAGGCTGCCTACTAAAATAGCTGTCTTACATTGCCATGTATTTGCCTACAAAACAGTACATGTATACACATCTTTGGAATATGTTTGATATCTGATTGGTAGAACTTTTTGGGGCATTTTCATCCTAATTTAAGTTTATGGCAGCTAGAAATTCATTTTATCTACTAATATTCAAACTTGTGAAAAGTAAATAATCATAGAATGATTAGTATATGCACTTCACTGAGGTATTTTGGCATGATGGGACTGGACACATTTTTTCTGAGATTTGTTTGTTTGAACTAATAACTTGATTGATGTTTTTAGTTTTTGGCCTTAGTGGATTTCCTTTAAATGTATAAGTAGCAATTGTATGGCGCATTTTTATTCAGAAATAGAGCATCCACCGTTTTGGTAATACTGTATAAAAATGGCTTCAGAAATTTAATTTATAATTGTAAAATATATATATAGTTTGGGTTAGACCTACTACTTAAATGAAATTTACACTGGTAAAATATTCAGGAATTGAATGGTTTAGATCTATGACTCGAATTTATACTTGTTAAATATCAGAATCATTTTAAGTATTTCTTCTGCTTTAGTTTACAATTAACAAATTCAGGATGTTTCACTGCCTACAATTATAAATTTATATTCTCTTGCAAGATTAGTAAACTTGAAATTAATCTTCAAAATTAATCTTAAATAACTTAATTAAGGGTCTGCTAACTCTCTAATATCTGAGTGACCTGCCTTTGCCGCCACTATAAGCCCAGCTGTGCATTCAGCACCTGCCTTTGCAACTAGTGTAAGCCAAACTGTGCATTCAGGGCTGAGCTTAGTAAAAAACATCTTGTCAGTCAATCTTGAATCATGTAGGAAAATAGTATTGGACATTTGGGTAACAATTTTATTAATAATATATTTGTTGTTTGCATTTCAGCTTCAACAGCATTCCTAGCAGAAAGTCAACCACCTAACAGGAAAGCTCTTGCCATGTATCCCATATTTCTCTTCTATTTTGTCATCAGCTGGCTTATTATCTCTCACACTCACTCCTAGTCTATTTATAGAATGTCTATTTATAGTAACAATAACTATTTGTACATTAGGGAATTAATATGGCTTGGGTGACGGCCATCTGGGGTGTTATGGGCTTTGTAATACCTGTGGATGTTTTCTAAAAATTTCAAAAGGAAAGGAAAACAGACATGTGCCAGTTGAGCAGTCTTTGTCGGTAAGCTGCACTTTTGGAGAAAATTTGTTGTCGATGTTGAAGGGTACAGAAACTTATTAGAGGGGAAATCTGCAGATTATGACTGTTGTCTTTTGTTTTGCCTTGTTTTATTTAATTATTTAGCTAGTTAAGATTACAATTATTTATTCTTGTATAGATGTAAATCATAGTTTAATTTCACTAACTAAATAGTGAATTTATTTAGGGTGCAGTAACAGATTTAACATGTAATACTGCTAAATCATTATTATTTGTGGGGAACTAATTTTCATGGTTTTTGTAGATAGATCAATCCACAAATTAAAGATCCAACGAAATTTCATTTCGTCTCCTGTAAGATTATTGTTCATTACATTATTTACAGTCGTTTTACCTTTTGGAAATATAAACAATCCACAAATTTAAGAAATCACGAAAATGTTCTTTGTGACAAAACCATGAAATTTCATGCCCACAAAATTAAGTTAATTCAAAGGAAATTGATAATTTTTAAAACCTTCAGAATTTTTTGTTTAACATTTAGGAAATAGATAAATTTATTTATTTACAATGTATTGTTGTTAAATATTTCAAGGTTTTTGTTCAAATGTATATAATCATATGAAGGTCAGTTGGCCTAAGTGATAACTTACAAAGCATTTGAACTATGAAACGTTCATTCATTGAACTAAAATGCAAGAAACATAAATATCTATGTTTTTTCCATTCTAACATACTAATAGAAAGAGAATCAATAAAAAAAAGTTGGGGTCATTTGTTTAATTGACATTGCATTTTATGTTAAGAGTCATTTCATTTCCTTATACTGTGTTCTATTATGTAATAGTGCACTCAAATACTCAATATGTTTAAAGATGCATGCCTCCAGACTAGCCAAAACATTTCAAGAAAATTAAACTTGAGAAAAATGTCCCGAAATTTTAAGAGAAGTAAAAAGATTTAAAAATCAAGTAATAATTTACATGTGCAATTAAGGACTGATTTTGCAGTACTAGTATTCATCACCATTTTTTTACTGTGTTACTAACGCATTAAGGGCTATTTTTGCTTATTTTGACCTCTTTTTGGTAATTTACATGGATAGCAAGTACTGTTTGCAATGTGTAAATTATTTTCTTTGTTTACTTCATAATATTTTACTTTTAAATTTATTTTTTAAAAATTTCATGAAAATTAGCATGAATCTGGAGGCATGATGCTCTAATACATGTATGTAAATAGGGTTAGAATGAATTATATCATAGACATAAGCTATAATATGAAATGACTAGTTATTTGTGTGGCATGTTATAAACTTTTCCAGGTACATGTACAGTCATTGTATTAAGAAACTGCTCAGAAGTCTGTCCAAGTGGTCCTTTAAGAAAGTGGTCTCTTAATAAAATTTGGTAAATTTAGAACGAAAACTCTGTAAGGGGTGTGGTGGCAACACATGGAAATTGTTTGGAGCACTAGTATAGTTTAAACTAATATGAAACATGGTAGGATGATTCAATGTTAATATGTGCTATATATTGGGTTTAAATTGGATTGGATATGTATGATTGTATATTTTAAGTTAATTTCTTATGTTAATGCATTTTAGACTTCATTGTTTTGTTTTGTAGATATGTGTATTTTATGTGTATGTATTTGTTATTATGATGTACTTCCGACAAATTTTACTGTGATATATATTTATGCTGAAAATAAATTGAAAGAATTCCACGTATTTTGTCCTTGTTTTGTCAAATGTTTTATCATTTACCATTACCCTGCTATATATCATAAATAAGTTTGTCCATCTATCAATCTGGACAAGGAGAAAATTTTAAAATAAGTACAGACTGAATAACAAGCGGTGCAGACCATGATCAGATTGTTGAAGTAGTTCTGCAGGTGTTCAGGTTAATGAGCACAAGCTTCTTTTTAATATTAAAAGTTTTGTTTTTGTTTTTTTGTTTGTTTGTTTAACATCACACCAATATGGCGGCTTTCCAGCTTTACTTGTGGAGGAAGACCTCCGTTGCCTCTCTATGCATTATTTTAAGATTAGAGGGCACCTAAGCAGAACCACCCACATTCCCTAAGCTGGCTGTAAAGCTTCCTCACATGAAAGAATCTAAAGGTCCTGGTGGGATTCAAACCTATAGCGGTAAGGGGCAAGTGGTTTTAAGCCAATGACCTTGACCACTGCACCCCTTTTACATTAAGACTTACTGTCTCCATCTGAAGCTATGAAGGCAGTTGGTTCTACTCACTTGTGCCAGAAATAAACGACAATGGGGACATATATTGGATCTTCAGTGCATGATTTCAAAATAAAAGGAAATGTACATGATGTGATGTTTATGTACAGGACATACCAAAATTTATGACTACCGCAAACTAACTTTTATAAAGTTAATAAGAAAACAAAAACAAAAACCTAAAAAATATCATGTCAATCTTTTGATCTGGACAAAACCAGTCGGCAATTTTAAGAAAATGTTAACATATTTACTGATATATGCATATTAAGTGAGGAGCCCCCAATGCTTTCCCACTTTAACACTGTCCACCATCTTGGAAATGTCTATACATTTATGACCATACAACTTACAACACAATGATAGAGCAAATGGTGCAGACCAGATGTGCACAGGTCACCATACAAAATCTGAATCGTAATTAGAGACTCTGTTTCAATATAAAAATAAAAATCCTTGCAATGAGCATCTGTCAGCATGGAGATACATATAAAAATTCAAATTGTACTATGAATATCAGATTAATAGTGTACCTTTCATACTCGTTTGAAAACACAAGTATGTATTTTTTTTAAATAATTTTTAATATTTAGACAAAATGACATATTTGATGATGCACTAACAAATAATTGTGTAGACACATTTATGATTCAATCTATGTAAACTGGAAATGCTTGACACCATGTCCTCCATATAATACATAGAGGATATTGAATGAGTGTAGGTTTAATACTAAATTTATTGAACGAGTTGAATAAAATCATATTATGCGAGCCTCTTGCGAGCATAATATTGTTTTATTCAACGAGTTCAATAAATTTAGTATTGAATCTACACGAATTTAATGTTCTATTTATCACATATATAAAATAAGAACGCTAAAATGTTAACAAGAGTCATTTTTCTTTGACGCGCCGATAGTGTAACGCTAACATTAGCGCGCTTTAACGCTATGTTTATAGCGCAAATTACGTGACGTCAAAGTGTTATTACACTAGTGTAATATTGACTAGTGTAATATCGTTTTTATTAAATGGCTTTATTACACTCCTGCGCCGCGGTTTATGTGATAAATGATAATACTTCAACCTTGTTTGGCCCAAACTACAGTACTGATCTCTCAAATAAATTTGCCCCTCTGAGTTAAAGCAAACAAAGTTTGATGGAAAATATTTTACATTTATAATCTGTTGAATTCTGCCTTAGTCGTTGCCAGGGAAAATTGAAAATAGCTTGCATTTCCCACTACCATCCAATGTACATGCTTGATCCAACTGAACTTTTAATATTTTTAATTTCGCCATATTGGGCGAACCTTTTACCTTCCTTAGCTACAAGTATAATATTTCTAGATATTATCAAGTGGTTTACTCAAATGTTTATAATCTAACAAAACACATGTCAAATTTGTTATCATAATAAGGATGTTTACAAAGTAAACTAACTCTACTTTATCTTATCATATTTCCTGGAATAAATAAAAAAAAATTGTAATTTCATAATATAGTGACTATCACTAAAACTTGTAATTGCAGCTTGACCTCAGCAGGGCTTTGCACCAATATACAGCTAATATTTACTTGTTAACAAATAGTTTTGTATTGCTGCTAAAACTTGTATAACATTGGTATAGCTTACATAGCTAAGACCTTTTTATTTACATTTGGTATTAGGAATTCATTATATTCAAGTACCTACTTGTATTATACAACAAAGCTTGTCGAAATTTGTCTGCTTTAACCAAAGTAGCGACACAAGTATTGTAAAACTGGCACTGAACACAAACAGAACTTTAAGCCCGAGTATTTCTAATCTAGCTGCAGGAAAAGTTGGTAAAATTGTACAAAACAATAGAATACTTGTGAAATATCTCAGCTTTGTCTGTCATCGCACCTGAGCAAAGAATAAAATTTATGTGCTATTGCTGATTTTAAGACCTAAACTTGGGGACATTGTAGGTCCTATGATCATCATTGTTTTAATTCTAAATTAAACAAAGACTTTCATTCAGTCAGTACTAGGGGATGTGCACACTTCCTTGCATTTCCAAAGCCATCCATGTGAGCTGCTCGGTCAAACTTAAAGCCAGCAAAATGTTGTTGAGTTGGTTTCCAGTTTTGACCATTTTATATGATTAATATCAATTATATTTGTATGTTAAGTTTATTTTATGTGTATGTTATTTTATATAATGATGTACATTCAAATAATTTTGTGTATAATGAGTCATAATTAGTAAAATTAATATTGGTTATAAAATTGTCAAAGAAATGTTCCAGTGAATTTAAATACTAAGATGTATTATCTCCCTTGAACTCTGTATATACAGCTATATATACATATATATGTAGTATATTAGATTGGAAGGAGCCTCTATGCAAAGAAAAATAAGTCTATACATTAATCAAAGGGCTGCAAGCTCAGTGGTATTTTCTGATCCCTGCAATCTAAATCTACTGTATATCTGTATGTGTTTTCCTGTATAAGTTTATTTTTATGTACTATAAGTCATCTTGCAGGGCACCAGAGTTTGATACATACGGAATTTTGCATAACTAGAGTTGCATCAAAAAAAAATTTATGTTAATTTTTTATGATAGCCACACTTTATCCTTGCATATCGTGGCTGTTTCCTTAACAAAGACACTAAAAAAAAAGAATTAAAAAAATGTTGACTCGACTGGGATTTGAACCCAAGACCTCTCACACATCAAACGAGCGCGTTACCCCTGCACCATGGAGAAGTTTTAAAATCAAAAGCTGAATAAAATCAAGTGATTCTAAATTTAGAATTTCCATTGCATGTCGGGTTAGGGTAATTTCGAGGTATTTTGTTCAGGGTAAACCTGTTGTTTAAAATTGAAGTAAATAATTTAGCAAAAATCTTCTCGCCCAAACAGTCCAACATGTAGAAACTATATATTCAACTACTCGGCAGTCAGATTTATTTGTGTAGTATTCAGTAATCGACATCGCTAAAAATAGCATTTTCATTGATTAAAGTCATATTCATCCGCGTAATTTGTGAGTGTGCGTTTATTGACAACTCTATAAGCCAACGCTACTTTAAAAGTTTGAAGATGTAGTAATTTGTTGGACACTTGTAACAAAAAATTGTTCTTTCTTTTAAATTGCTGGTTTTTAAGCAGTTTTGAGTGAGAACTAATTTGCGTTGTTAGGACTGTTAGGAAATTTTGTGTTAGATTGGATGTTAGCTATGTATTATCTGATCTGCGATCAGAAAATACAAAAACTATTGACAATCATTAACATGCTCTAGAACCATTATTTAAACTTTATAAAAATCATATTTGCCATTTTTAAAGAAAGAAAAATTCATTTGTTTCCGAGACATAAAAGAGGGTTAATATGTATTACATTGTCAGAAGCACAGCCTTATAATTGCAGTAAGCTTTTTTGACATGGCACCCTTACTCATGCATATTTAAAATTGTGCAACAATGGTACACGCAATCATTAATGAAGATTTTCTTCTCTGTTAATGCAAACCTGTGGAACCGTTTTTTGGGGTTTTTTTTTGCACGAATGTGTCTTACTACACCAGTCTTAATACCCTAGGCTTCGGAATACTGTCTTCAGAATAAATATTATGTTCTTACATATTATTAATAACTTAAATTATAATTCAGAATAAATATTATGTTCTTACATATTATTAATAACTTATATTTTAAAATCCTTTCTAATAAAGTGATTAAATGCTGCAACTGGCATGTGTCTTTTCTTTACAAATTTACATGTTTTTGGCATGATTTTGAAATACATGTACTGCTCCATGTGTTGCTTGGAAACAAATTAAAATTGTTGTTAGTGTGATATCCTCACTTATAAGTTACAATTTCATTGCCAGTCATAATAAATTACAAGTACATGTATTATACAAAACAGTTATAAACAATACAGTTATACTCAGAGCTTTATTACATAATAAATCCTTACTTTTAGGTTTTGGATATTAAACTGCTTGGTGCTTAAAAGATATTTTTCAATGAAGAGAATAACAATTATAATTACAATTTGTGGTTACATGGATCTAAAAATTTGATAATAAGTATCTTGAAACATGCTGTATATATAGTGTAAATGTTTACTAAATTAAAGCAACATGCATCCAGATTCATGTTAATTTTCATTTAAATGTAAAATACTGTGAAATAAACAAAGAAAGTAATTTACATATTATGAACAGTGCTAACAATCCACGTAAATTACCAAAAAGAGATCAAAGTATGCAAAAATACCCCTTACTGCATTTGTCATTCAGTAAAAATTTAATGATAAATAAAATACTGAAAAATCAGTCATTAATTGCACATAAAATGTAAAAGTGTAAATTATTGATTGAATCTCGAATCGCTTTACTTTTCTTAAAATCTTAGTACATTTTTCTCAAGTGTGATTTTCTACATCTGGAGGCATGCAGCTTTAATAATACAGGGTGAATTTACATGAAAGTTTATGGTATTACAAAAAAAAATTATTTATTTTTTTACTTTATGTTTGCTGATAACTTACTTCTATATAATAAATATTTTTCAAAGTTTTGAAATGGATTTTATTCTTTTTTTTTTTACCCTTTATTTACTTAAAGTACTTTTCATGATAAATATATTAAAATAAGGTACACACCTGTACCCAGTTACATTTAGATACGGACTATAGGTAAAAGTTAACACGCTTTGGCTGTCGTCAAATGTAAACTTCCGCCCAGGTGATGTGAAGTTTCAAAAGAGGACTAACTCGGTGTATTTTACTTTTAATCTAAGTTTTACCCTTTTTAATCGTAGAAATATACTTTTAATTTGGAAATTTACATGTGTTCTTAAATTTGTTCATTCATAATGAGCGGAGCGGAGGCTGACATTTCTTCCGACGGTGAGACGAGCTTTGAAGATGAGGATGTGCCCCTACCCCCGAGCCCATTGAAGGAGGGGACTGATGAGCCCTTTCGGGTGGTGTTGAAAGGGGGCAGTCCATGGGGATTTACGTTAACAAATGGAATGGAATCTAAAGCTTCTGTTATAATAAATGAAGTAAGTTTATTTATATTGAATTATAATTATTTTTACCTGAGAATTCGCATGTTAAAAAAAAGATTACTGACTTGTGCTATCAAGAAAAAAAAATCTACGAGATCGTAATAAAATATTATGAATTAGTTTTATAGCACAACTTAAAAATATCAAAAATATATGTTTTTATACATTTAACTATTTAACACAATTATTAGCTAATATTTTTTGTTTTATTATTATTATTATTATTATTATTATTATTATTATTATTATTATTATTATTATTATTATATATAACAGGCCTAATTGTCATTAAAAAACGGTATTTATATTGTAAAATGTGCACATTGTTCTGTTGTAGAAAATAACGGTTAAACCTGAACTCGTACAACTTAATTTAACTTGTCAAACAAGAAATTGGAGTTAATCATTGCTTCATAATAATAGATTAATACCTTTTACATGTTGCAGAATACCAGTATACTCAGTACAGAAGTCAGTACACCATTGGCATCCTAAGATTATAATTATTCACTATAAGAACCAATGAATAAATTATAACCCAACTTTCTGCACATCTTATTTTCATTATAATTTGTGTAATAGTTTCTTTAGAACATTGTATACAGGTAGTTCTGTTTTTTATGTTAATTGCTTTAATGAAAATAAGAAAGTTTCACTTTAATCATTCATTCTGGTATTAGGTAACAATGGCCCATGCTTGGAATGTCTTGGTATAATTTGGGAATTGGTTATTATTCAAATTGCGTTGTGTATATTGTATATGTAATTTTCTTAGTTTAACTTTGATATTAACTATTATACAAATATGGACTTTTTAGCTGTTGAATATGATGTGATATGTACTGAAAAAATTAATATTGACCGAGGCGATAGCCGAGGTCAATATTAATTTTTCAGTACATATCACATCATATTCAACAGCTAAAAAGTACATATCTGTTTTATTATATAATTTATAAATAGCTTTTATATGGCTTATCACATCTGCCATTGCATACAACGTACGGAAATCATTATTTTTCAGCTTGTCTACTGTTTCCATAATTTGGCCCTTTCCATTGGCATGCTAATCCCTATTGTTCTTAAAAATGTAAAACGGTAACTAAAATAGACTAATTTGACTCTTATGTACACCCCACTCAACGTTTTTAGTATAAAATATAGAATAATAACAACAAAACTTGGCGTGATGTCACGTCAAAGTCTCGCGTCTTTTAGGGATTTCCAGAAAATCTATTTTTAGAAGAAAAACCGGTGAATATACTCTGAAAATCTATTTTTAGGAAAAAAACAGTGAATATACTCTGATATTGACCTGTTATTTTTTACAAAAAGTTGCTTGTTAGCCAATCAGGGAAAGGCATTTCATAGCTATTTATAGATTATATAATAAATATGTATATGTCACACATACAAATCACATTACAGTAGCCAAATTTTTTTTCAAGTATTTCCATAAAGCCCCCTCGTTGAATAAAATAATATTATGCTCACCAGAGGCTAGCATGATATAATTTTATACAGTTTGTTCAATAAATGTAATATTGAATCTACACAGATATAATATTCTATATATCACATAATATCCTCTGTATATTTTTTTATCAAACTTCATATTAAAGCACATAAAAGAGAGAAATAAATAGTATAAATAAAATAAATTGCTAAATTGCTTTTATATACGGTAACCCAGATTTTACTTGCAATTCAAATTCAATTATAAAATTGACCAGGATCATGGTATATATAGAAAACATACAAATACAAATCTATAGCTGTATTTGTAATCTAAGAATCTGTACAATCTTATCTAAAAAGCTATTTGTAAAGCCTTAAGGTTTTTTTTAGGTCAAAAGCAGGACAAACATCTTCAAATCGGGTATATTTTGCCTTCAGCAAACCAGAGAAAGTGTGAAATAAAATATTGTCAGAAATTTTGATTAGCTTTCTGCGGGTTTCCTTTAGTTTCTGAAAGTGTTTCTTTTTACACATCCTTTCTAACATGATGATCAGCTTTTAAACCCTATCACAATGTTTATGTTAGTCTATTGAAGGCAAAGCTTACTTTACGACCTTTTTAAGTCTGATTGGATTTGTGGTCAAAAAAATTTTATGTACCATACTTTACCTATTAAAATCATTATGTTTTTATTTCAAGAAAAGAAGAGTAAAATATCTTAATGCAAATGTATTATAATTATGGACTATGCTTGATTGTTATATGCAGGAAATTGAAGTTCATGGTAATTTTCATCTGCAGTAGAAATTCAATGTGCAGTGGCAAATAATGAGTGTCGGCATGGCTGAGTGGTTACCCAGCGGTTTCAACCTAATACTTATAAATTAAATAATACCCAACAGAGTTGTGGTGTCAAATTATACTAAATTGTTTGAATGGCTTGTAAATTAATCCTCAACCAATGAATTTAAGTTTATGTCCATATATAGCACATGTTTGTTGCAATAAGTACATGTATAAATATAATTATTGCTCATGAATTTTACCAAGAATTTTATGGTATGTAAACTTTGTATAAAAGTAGGTTTTTTTTGTCTAAATATGAATTACACACCAGTGAATTTCACAAGTTTAAATATTTGAAAATATGTTTATTTAACATGAGTAATTGATACTCTACTGTAAATGTTTCTGTCTATGAACATTATGGCTGAAATGTTTTATTAAAAAATGTACATTCATTAGTTTATTTACGGTACTTAGTCTGTCTACTGTACTTCTTGTCTTTAAGCAGTCACAATTCTGACTTTAATAATCACATACAATTAATTTTTGAAATCTCTTAAGTAAATTTACCTAATAACCTTTTAAGAGGATTTGGGGAGGTTGTTTTTTAAAGGTTGTTTTTATTTCATAATTACCCATATAGTAAGAAAAGAGCTTTCAGAACTTATAAATTATTTAAAATTATGTTATATTAAAGTTTGTATGAGTTAAATACATTTGTCATAATGTTTTTTTCTTATTGTGAGTGAAGTACAAATATTATTAAAGATAAAACTTGTCCTTGATCTACTTTAATGTTTTGAAATTGTCATTATTTAAAGCAATTTGCAGGGATTGAAATTAAAATATCAAGTCATAATTAAAGTGTTTTTTTCTTCTTCCCCCCCCCCTTTTTATTGTCTTTTAAAGTCATTCTGACTTTTTTAGTTTGATCATTTCTCTGTTCACAGGTTTTCATGGTACTTTGAATTGTTCAAGTAGAATTTTGTACAGGTTTCCACGGTTCTTTGAATTGCTCAAATAGAATTTTGTACAGGTTTCCATGGTTCTTTGAATTGCTCAAGTAGAATTGTGTACAGGTTTCCATGGTTCTTTGAATTGCTCAAGTACAATTTTGTACAGGTTTCCATGGTTCTTTGAATTGCTCAAGTAGAATTTTGTACAGGTTTCCAAGGTTCTTTGAATTGCTCAAGTAGAATTTTGTACAGGTTTCCATGGTTCTTTGAATGGCTCAAGTAGAATTTTGTACAGGTTTCCACGGTTCTTTGAATTGCTCAAGTAGAATTTTGTACAGGTTTCCATGGTTCTTTGAATTGCTCAAGTAGAATTTTGTACAGGTTTCCATGGTTCTTTGAATTGCTCAAGTAGAATTGTGTACAGGTTTCCAAGGTTCTTTGAATTGCTCAAATAGAATTTTGTACAGGTTTCCTTGGTTCTTTGAATTGCTCAAATAGAATTTTGTACAGGTTTTCACGGTACTTTGCATTGCTCATATAGAATTGTGTACAGGTTTTCATGGTACTTTGCATTGCTCATATAGAATTGTGTACAGGTTTTCATGGTACTTTGCATTGCACAACTAGAATTGTGTACAGATTTTCATGGTACTTTGCATTGCTTTAAAAGTAGAATTGTGTACAGGTTTTCATGGTACTTTGCATTGCTCAAATAGAATTGTGTATAGGTTTTCATGGTTCTTTAAATTGCTCAAATAGAATTGTGTACAGGTTTTCATGGTACTTTGCATTGCTCAAATAGAATTGTGTACAGGTTTTCATGGTACTTTGCATTGCTCAAATAGAATTGTGTACAGGTTTTCATGGTACTTTGCATTGCTCATATAGAATTGTGTATAGGTTTTCATGGTACTTTGAATTGCTCACATAGAATTGTGTATAGGTTTTCATGGTACTTTGCATTGCTCAAATAGAATTGTGTACAGGTTTTTATGGTACTTTGCATTGCTCAAATAGAATTGTGTACAGGTTTTCATGGTACTTTGAAATGCTTTAGTAGAATAGTGTACAGGTTTTCATGGTACTTTGAAATGCTTTAGTAGAATGGTGTACAGGTTTTCATGGTACTTTGAAATGCTTTAGTAGAATGGTGTAAAGGTTTTCATGGTACTTTGAAATGCTTTAGTAGAATGGTGTAAAGGTTTTCATGGTACTTTGAAATGCTTTAGTAGAATGGTGTTCAGGTTTTCATGGTACTTTGAAATGCTTTAGTAGAATGGTGTACAGGTTTTCATGGTACTTTGAAATGCTTTAGTAGAATGGTGTAAAGGTTTTCATGGTACTTTGAAATGCTTTACTTTGAAATGCTTTTGTAGAATGGTGTACAGGTTTTCATGGTACTTTGAAATGCTTTAGTAGAATGGTGTAAAGGTTTTCATGGTACTTTGAAATGCTTAGTAGAATGGTGTACAGGTTTTCATGGTACTTTGAAATGCTTTAGTAGAATGGTGTACAGGTTTTCATGGTACTTTGATATGCTTTAGTAGAATGGTGTACAGGTTTTCATGGTACTTTGAAATGCTTTAGTAGAATGGTGTAAAGGTTTTCATGGTACTTTGAAATGCTTTAGTAGAATGGTGTAAAGGTTTTCATGGTACTTTTGAAATGCTTTAGTAGAATGGTTGTAAAGGTTTTCATGGTACTTTGAAATGCTTTAGTAGAATGGTGTAAAGGTTTTCATGGTACTTTGAAATGCTTTAGTAGAATGGTGTAAAGGTTTTCATGGTACTTTG